TTTTTTCATTTGCAGGTATCAGAATGTCACTTTCTCACCTATATGACTTGTCATTCAACATGGGACTGACATTGTGATATCCCTGAGATGTCCCCACAAGTAATGTCTGGGACTTGCCCCAAGGGGATATCCCTGGGACATCTCTGGGATGTGCTATTTCTTCAAGAAAGGGACATCCTTGGGCCCAGACATTTTGATATCCCTAATCCTTGTCTCTGGGACATCGCACTTGTCCCAAGGGGATATCTTTGGGATATCCCTGTGCTGTGTGGGACGGAACCATTTTAGGATTCAGGCGATCCTCAGGACGACCGAATGAAAGTCGTCTACGGCAGCCGGGTTATCGTACGTGATTTCCCTCACGTAACCGTCACGGGCTACGTGCAGGGAATCACCCAAGCCGGATGTTCATCGCGTATTTAAAAAAACGTGTACGTCTGCAGAATTATCTCAAGTCCCATCTCATGGTTAACGGGATGCCACGGGCCGTGAGAAAGCGCGGCGCCGATCGGGGCAAATGCGAAGGCCTGGGCGCTTCCCCCCCCCGCCGCAGAACGTCCATGAAGGATGATGCATCGAACGAGTGGTCGAAAGGAAATGTGGCCTTTCTGCAGAAAACCCTTAATCGAGTTTCACAGGGAATATTCTTGCGGCCGTCTATTTGAAAATGAGGAAAAGTGGTATGCAGAGATAGACCGGTTCCTCCTTTAAAGAATTCCTCCAAAACTATCACCTTCTACAAAAGGAAAAAGGTTTCATGAGCCAACTATACTTTTTCCGGACACTTTTTTGTAGATAGACCACTTTTCTTCTCAGCCCTTCGAATCCTGCCTGCAGGCACGACCCGTCTCTGGAATGCATTCCAGAGACGACCGGCAATAGCATTTTTTTTTTGTTCCCTCTTTCCCCTCATCTCGCTGCGGTTCTCATGCCTGCGAGTCGAGACATCTCGAGTTCGGGCACGTCTCAGGGGCAGGGACGAGGGTCTTCGTGATTCTCCGAGGGGAATTCCCCCCCCGCTCGACTCCACGACGGAAGCCGAGATGGCGCGCGAGAGTGGATCGCTATCCTGCAGTGCCGGTCAGGGTCTGGCGTCGACGCGGTCTCGACACGGATTGCACGGCGTTCGTAGAACTCCTTCGCGGTTCTAGACGGTTGAATTTGCGACAAGGAACGTTCCGGCATTGTTTGCCGCTCCACTGCCTCCAGCAGTACAGGAAACGGCGGTTTTCAGGGTAGGGCCTGTCAATTTTCTCCAGTGGCGTGGAAAGAACTACTCTTGCGATCGCGAAGGGCCTTGTCCTTTGCTGGGTTTCAGTCACCCTGTTTAATTCTGTGACGTCTCTCGGCTCCAGCGTCCCTTTTCTTGAACCGATGAAATGGGAGGCCGAGGGAGTTCAGCAAGCTGGTCACGTTTCTTCCGAAAGAGTTGATTCTCATGCGATTGCGATGCGATGCGATGCGTGCATTCTGATGCGATTAGCTGGGGCCGTGGGGTAACCAGAAATAATTCATTATCATTTGGATTACCGAAGTAAACTTCCTGAAGCCTTCCATTTTTTTTTTGCTATTTTAAATCTTCTCACTAGGACTTACGGATGAAGCTGTCAGCTTGTGCTCGAGTATGACAAAACAATCAACAATTGTCAACATTGTCAACTGGCCTCGTTCGCGATTATCCTGATCGACACTGATCATGATGCAATCCTGAAGGGATTTTGAGCAATGAAATGGCTCAAAATGAAGCGAACGCGTGCGTTATTGCTGCTACTTACTGGTTGCCGCAATGCAAAAAGCTAACGCAAAAATACCAGTTCAGCTTCAGATTACACAGATGTCCGTGAATTTAATTTTCATATATTCCTGAGGGAAGATGTCACTGCTAGCTAATGAGGAGAGCATCAAATTTCGAATTCAGAAAACACATTTTGAATATTTTCCGAACATCGGATGCCTCTCATCTCCCAGTACCATGGAAAAAAAAGGGCAAATCTGCATATGGAGTGCATCATTCTGAAGGATAGGTTCAAGTTCAAGTAGCAGCAGATTTTCGAAAAGCTCCGTCATAAACAACATAAAAGATATGCTTCAGCAATAAATCAATGCTAATCAGGCTTTTCTTGAAAACTAAGTCAACCGGGGCACGCCAACGGTTGTACAGTAAAATTTCAAATATTAATTTCGAGACTGGAGTGAAATGGTGCTACGTTTCACAGGTTTTCCATTTGCCATTTGAAACTTTCTTGAGGGATTTCTTTCGGGAAAGAAATCCCGCATCACCACTTGGGAGAATCACAGAGACTGAAAAGTTCTTCCATCACTCACGGGACCAAGAATAGATTACTGTTTTTTTTTAGCACTGCTTTTCGCGGAGATGTCTCAGATCCCAGCCAAAGAAAGGTTCGGGATACATTTAGGATCAGTTTTAATATTTCATAGCATATTACATGAACTCATTGTCCACCTTTTTGTTTTTTTTTTACTTCCAAAAAGCACAAGACAGTGAGGACGTTCGTCTCGTTGAACGAATGCGAACAAGTACGCTTTGCAACGCTTGTGAAGCAGTAGTGAATTCCACTTTTCGATCATGGACCGTCAAAAGAAGAAATAATTCCAAAAATGTATTAAATAAATTAGAACTTAAACAGAAACATGAGTTTCTCGTCCAATATTTTCCACAACTTTCCCTGGAAGTTTACTTTTTCAACTTTCCAAGATTGGGAACAACAACTCGCCATCACGAGCTCCACGAAATATAATCAACAGTATTCGTTCGACAAAACGAACTTGATCGCTGTCGTATTTCATCTGGAAGGGCAGGGAATATGGTTAAGTTGCATGAACTATGTGTTATTATAATCCAAAAAATTTAATATACTCAAGGTAACTATCCCTACTGAGGCCGTAGGGATCGCATCTCTGCGACACTCTATGCAATGCAGACTATTGGAAATTTCAGTTAATTCTCGTTCACCCGGACTCCAGGGAAGCCGGCGATTTTGTCAGGATTACCGAAACCTGGCCGAATCATCTCTCACTATTCACTTTTCTTGACGAAGAAAAAATCCCTCCCTCAGACACACGGGAAAAATCGTGAAAGAAATTTTTTTTTTCAATTCACGAGGGGGAAAAAAAAACCTCCCTGTCAGGTCATGCCGAGAGAGCTTAGTCATGATGGAGGGGAGCTAAGAAACTCGTCGATGCAATGATGGAAAACAGAGAGAAGGGGGAGATCATTGAGAAGGGTGAATGATAGTCGCAATGCCCCGAGCAATTCCAATTACCCGATTCCAGGAAAAGGGGAGATTCTTTTCTTCATTAAATGAGATGCGGGAAGGGCACAGAGACAGTCTCCTGCCGCATTCCATCTCTTCTGCAAGCGAGCCCGGATTAACGGAGTGGCTAAGGGGACCAGAGAACTATTCCGCATGAATGGGAATCACAACTTTCAGATTAAACAGAGAACTTTAATACTAGCTCTAAAGGGGATTTCTGCAGGAACATTCTTCCATGTCCCATTTAACCGCAGCACCGGATTACTGACGTTCGGATAAACAAGTTTACTTCCATGAAGGCTTTCACACAGTTACGCTCAACTGGAGTCGCATGCCACTTAAGCGATGGTCCCCAGAAATGACAATGCTTCTAAAACGACGGCGGTTCCCGGAAATTGCCCATATCAAGTATGATACTACAGAGACATGTGGTTTTCCAATACTCGTTTTTGTGCTTCCATGAGGCATACAATTACGCGCGTATTTTGAAAAAAGAAAAAAAGGTTTTGTCATCTCAGCTGGCGACAATTGCCGATTCACTCGTTAATATGCTAAAGGAGAATTTATGAAACGAAGCATAAAGTAAGGAGAGGGCTAGTCTCACCAGTATATCAAATTTCGTATCATAACAAAGGCTCAATACATACCTCAACAAAACGGATCAATCCAACGCTTCATCATCCTTCGGAGTTTTCATGTAAATTTTGCCCCTGAAGTCAAATGTCACTAGGCAACAAAAATAAATAAGTAATATGCATAAATATGATATGAAGTTTATATCATGAAAGAGAAGTCCAGGTCAGTATTTAAAAAAAGAGATACCACCAAATTAAAACGAGCTCTTTTATTACACAATATTCTCTTTTTGCCCTTTACAATATCCAGAGCAAGAGACATGACTGTAAGAAAAAAAACGGACTGGAGGCAAAAAATAAATTAAACCAATAAAATGTGTCACAGGAGGCAGGACCAGAGACACACCAGGGCCTCTCAATAGTCAGTCATGTAACCATCAGAGAATAAGAAATTACTGCAACAAGAGTCACCAAAATCCACACATTAAAGTTGATCCCCATGAGACTACCTCAAATAAAAAAAAGGGGGGACACCAATATTAGCACATCTGCAACTCTTTGGGTGCAAAAAACCTGTAAAAAAAAAAAAGAAAAGAAAAGAAAAAAGAATGTATTGTTCCTTATCAGAGTTGAGACTTGTACTTCCAGGCTGCCTCAAATCTCATCCATTCCTCTCTGTATAGTTAGTCCAACATGGCAGAAGGAGGGGAAGAAATATCACATTTGGGGATGAGTCGATGCACATCTCTTCTTCTTCATGAATCATCTGGAGTCAGTCTGGTGAAGATCATGTAAGATCTGAGCCACAGTGCGGGACGCTTCCATGGCTGATGTTGCCACACTCAACAACTCTGGCTCATGCATCTTTAATATTCTGCAAAAATAAAGTTCAGATATGATCATTTGTAAAAACTTAAAGTGAGACTCTTACACAATAATACTCTATCTCATTACACACCTTCTTCCATGGTCTGAATAGAGGCCCAAGTTTCTAAGAATCAGTGCAGACGTAAGGCGAATACTCTTGGTAACAGGCCCTTCCTTCTCCTCCTATCAAATGAGACAGAAATTTCTCATTTTGTGTGGTTGGCTTCTGAAGATCGAGTCCGAATTTTATTGCATTCCAATATGAGCTGCAAGTGCAAGTAGCTCAAAGGAAAATAAAACTTGCTTGTTTGTCAAGAGCAGCAAGAGCATCCAAGGCATGCCTCCGGATTGCCTGATAGGCAGCATTTGGGGCATATCCAGGATGAGGGCTAGGCTTTGGTGGCTCTGGGACTGTGGTCTTGCCTGTCAAGGCCAACTGCCTTCTACGGACCAAATTCAGCTTCAGCACCTGGACACAGGGATAGAGGGTTGAGACAGAGGATGACACCTTTTCCTTTTCATCCATCCCATGCTAGCATGTAAAAGAAATTGGACACGGAGTTAGTGCGTGCACCACATCTGTATCAACTACTGGTTAGTTCCTGCACTACGGCCACATCTGCAAGAGGAAGAATCGAGGTCAAGTCATACTTGTTCATTGCAGTGCCGATCAAGCAGATGAGTCATGAGAGAGAGCTTCTTCCTTTTTGTTCCATCACATCGATCCCAGAGGCATGGCAACTCCTCTGCATTTTGTGGAACATGTGTCTCACAAGCATGGATGTAAACTGAGGATGCCTTTTTGAACCCCCTGGAAATCAGAAGTAGATATGACCAATTCATTAATGCAGAACTATTTGGAAGGGAAACCAGCAAGATGCACTGGAGACTCACGCAAGGCAGCCACGCCACTCGCACAGGTATACATCCTTTGGCACATGCTTGGAAGAGGCTTGAGAGGCAGAAGTTGTAGGTGCATTTGCAGGTCCAGATGTGATGGTTACAGTTGGCTTTTGTGACACTGTTGGTTTCATTGTCTTTGCAGCACTTGACATCATTGTAGTCACATTCAGTGTCCCCTTTTGCACTTCATTTGCTTGTGCAGCTGCACGAGTAATAGCATGCGTCCTGAGGTTGCTTGCAGGACCTGAATTCACTGTCACTGTGGTAGCCGTAGCTGGTTTCTGCTGAATCACTGTTCCAGTCACAATTGCTGATGATGGCATATGGTGCTGCTGCTGTTGACTTTGGCTGTCACCACTGGATGGAGTGATGGAGATAACTGAAGGATGTGCTGTGATTGTGATTGGACTGGCATTCATCCGTTGCGCATTGCTACCACCTGCCCCAGTTTGCTGTGGCACAAGTAGGATGGCAGTTTTCATATGACCAGGCTGTCCCTGACTCACTAGTAAGGCGCTCTGTTGGGGTGAAGCTGACCCTGTAGAGCCAGTCTGATTTGTGCTGGTCAGCACCAGCTGACTGCTTCCTGGGCCACCTGACTGTTGCACGATCATTGGCTGCCGCACCACATAATGATACTGCTGATTGCCTTGCTTCACAACAAGAAGCTGACTCTGACTCCCAGGTGTCTGGTTCACTATCAGAGATGTAGATGAGATCATAGTGCTGGTTGGTCCAGATGAGGTCACAATTGCCTCTGGTTGAGGCTTAGGTGTTGATGCTGCTGAGGTTGGTGGATCAAGGAAAGCCTCCATGCATTCTGGCTCTCCACATGTCTCAGGATTGAGGCACACATGAGGGAGAACTATTTTCTTTCTCCCTGCTGCTGTATTTGAGGAGGAAATTTTGGCAGAAGAAGCAGATGATGGTGCAGGATTTGGCTTGGTTTCAGCCTCATCTTCATCATCAGTACCACAGTGAATTCCATCTTCACATTTCCCTGCTGATTTTGGAAATTCTTCCTTGGCACCTGCACCACCATGAACACCATCGGTACAGTTTATACGGCTCAAAGATTTCTCCTCTCCACAGTGAATGCCATCTGGACACTTTTCACCAGAATTATTGGCTTTACTCATTTCAGAACACATGTCGGTGTTTGTTCGTGTGGATCCCTGGGCACTGCAGTTTATTTGGTCTTGGTCCTCTTTTCCACAGTGAATCCCATCGTTACAGGTTGATCCCCGTTCTGGTTTATCATCACAGTGCAAACCATGAGAACATGCTGTAGTGTTCCCATCAATCTCCTTTTGAAGCCCATTTGAATTGGAGTCATGGGTCACAGCATTCAAACGTGGCTTCTTCCAAGACTGAGTAGATTCATCTACAGATGGCCTCTTTGTGCCATGAGTCATAGAGAAATCTTCACCATTAACAAGATGGTTCGCCTTCTTGCCGACAACCTCCAGGCCCTTCTCACTGATACGAATCTCTTTCTCAACCAAGCCATTAAGAGTTCCAGGATCTTTGGCAATTTTCTTCTCCAGCATTTCTGCAAGGAGACCTTTGACTTTACTACCTCCTTCCACAGAACCTTTTTCATTTACATCACCCTCTGTATGAGATCCCCCATGTGTTCCACCCTGAAAAAAAGTATGAAAATAAATGTATAAAAAAGGGAGAAAAAAAATTTCCTTTGAAATTCCCAGTGACTTTTACCTGCTTTAATGCAACTGAAAGGATGGCAGGTTCTTGAGACAATGATTGTTGCTGTTGCTGCTGCTGCTGTTGCTGCCTTTGGAGATTCTGATTCACCTGAAAGAGAAAACAAAGAAAACTTATATTTTCTAAATAGAAAATTTGAATGTTGAAGAGAACTCGAATTTTTCTTCAGCCCCTCAAGCTGGCTCCACACATCTAAACAAGGTTCTACATGCTGAATTTTTCCAATTGCCAAAGTTAACAAGGATACTAAAAAAAAAAGGGTGATGTCTCTCATCCATATCTTCCAATCCCCTGTAATTAAAAAAAAAGGGGAAGTCTCTGTTAAAGGGAGGAAACAAAACCATCTTGTTAGGGGAACATATTACCAGATTCTTCTCAGGCATCATAGGGAACAGATTACAAAATTAAGATTCTCATGTGATGCCTTCCCAAATAATAAAAAATGAAGAGTTGCATGCCCTCTCACTGAAAATTTAAAAAAAAATACCAACAGCCACAGCACATTTCAAATTGGATAGTTCATTTGATCTTGCCTGCTAAAACTACAAGTTCATATTCCCTTAAAATAGAAAGCCACAAAACTCTTTAAACATTGTAACCATGCAGTCAAGCTGTGCATTCCTGCTGGCATCCAGTCACCTCAGTTAGATTCTTGGCCTTCAGCTCCACTCAATGTGTGCATGCAAAATAGCTTAAAAATCTAAGGATGCTAGAGAATATGGCCTTCCAACATTCAATAGGCAAACTGGTGAAGTGTTAGTTAAGAGGTATGATAGGTATTGTAAATGAGAAATACGTACAATTCAAGAGAGAATAGGATATCAACAGTGTGTCAAGATGCCAAGTCAGTGAGAAAAGGGGAAGTTCAAGCCAAGGAAAGGAAATCATGAGTTCTGCCTTCTGCGAAGCCTCAGCTTAGCTGTACCTTTGATGCTAAGAGACTCTTGATCAAAGAGGAAGAGCCAGATAGGTCTGGAGCTTTCCTTGGGGTTTCAGCATGACTCTGATGACCAAGGGTGGGGACTTTGGGGCCAGAGATACTGCCCAGAAGAGCCTGACTCAAGTGTGGATGGGCCATTACCTTCCCAGACAAAAAACAAAACTAAGACATATTAGATCCACCTACTTATGAAGGTAGCCACAAAAATTGTAATTTTCAAGACCACATGATTTTGGGTGCCCTGCAAATCAGGGCTCATGTTATTGCATGACACTCCTGCAAATTAAAGATATTCTTGTTTGAAAGTACTGTACTACTTCTGTTTAAATTGTTAAGAGAGATCCAGAACTGACTTTCAGCCAACCAAGACATATAACTAGAGCTAATTCTATTGAAAAAAGCAAATTCTCTTAACACATGTGCATTATTTCCAAATGAGCCTCAACAGTTGAGAAGTACAATAACCATGATGTCAAAGTGCCTGCCCATCTAGTGAATGCTTGCTTTTCTTCTGTTGATGGCATCAAACGACAGGGAGTTGCTCAAAATTTCAATCACTACTCATTTCCCACCAAGAGATTCTCATTTCACCAATCGATCATGAGACTCCTGGACTCATCAGGTATGCTCAAGATGAACATTCTTTACAAGAATAAAATCTCCAGCAGCCGCAATGGCTTCAGGTTGAAGCCCTTCCATACAGACTCAGTCCAGGATAGGTATTTAGCTTAGAGGGATTTGACTGAATCAGATGGACCTAAATAGTCAAGATTCAGGGAAAAATTCTTTTGATTGATATTGTTTCTCATTTCCCAATCACTTCCCTTCAATAATTTACAGAGCATGCCCTGCCCATTATACCAATGAAACTTAAAGTTGAGCAATTTGAGGAAAAACCTGAACCTTCAACTTTTCTTTCTTGATCAGAATGAAGCTTTCCAAGTAATATATTGGAGAAACAATGCATGCCACTCCCCAATACTGCAGGAGAAATCCTGCACCCACATGACCTATAGGAAAGGGGATTCACCTGGTTGTGGTTGGAGGGGAGTGCCAAGGACTGTGATAGAGGTGTGGAAGGTGTCAAAGAAGTAGAATGTGAAGATCCTTTAGGAGGACAACTCAGCTGGGCCTTCAATATGGGACTAATGGGAGTCTCTTGATTAGCAGGAGTAGGAGACAAACTGACAGCCACAGCACGTGGCCCCATCAAGGGAGGAGGAGTCATGGACATGGGGGGTGGAGACGAAGACACTGTTGTTGGAGTGATCATAGTGGGAGGACGTTTCACCAGGCCCTTGTAAATGAAATCTATTCCTCCACCAGGTCTTGGCCTCTGCAAAGGACCCACCTGAGCCCCAAATGCCACCCTGAAAAGGAGCCCATCAGCCAAAACTTGCTCAAACCACACATATGGCACATTAGAGTCAAAACCATTTCTCCACATAATGAAGTGATCAAGGAACAATAAATGTGTTAGTGGCTTCCCAACTTAAATATGCATTAAACGTTTCAATGGCTTCCCAATTCAAAAGGAGATGATCTGAGATCACTAACAATTAGGGAACCTGAAGAACTCATCAAACATTAGGGAGACAGAGATGTCAGAACCTGTCTATATTAATTTTGTCATTCTGGAGCAGATTTAAACACACAAGTTCCACAGTTATGGCAGTAGGTATGCAATTAGAATTATCTTATACAATATACAATATACTCTGAACTCAGGAGAAAGTTTTGACTTCACTCTTTACTGCTCAACTGCTGAGTCTTACCTGACACAGTGAGCAAAGCCACTGGCATAAAGGAAAGACTTCTTTTGGCCTACAAAATGCTGGCTAACTGCCTGGAGGTATCCTTTGTAGAGATCATCTTGCTCCACAGAGCAGTTCAAATCAATTACATAGACCTTCTTCAACCACTGAACTGCAAAGGCCTCTTTCTCTCGCTCTGACTGATCAACGATAGCTGCCCTAGCCACCTCTGAAAAATTAAAATTTTCAAGAATTACATTCACTACAGGCCAAGACAGCACAATTTGTGAAACAAGGACTCACTCTTACTTGCAGACTCTTCTATGTGGACGGATGGGACATTGGCCACATCTGGTGGGATATCAACTTCCATGGTATTTTCCACAACACGCATATGAATGCAGGCCTGAGATCCATAGCTCTGTGCCTCAATTGTGAGAAGGGATAGGAGGACAGAGATTGCATTTCCAGAATATGAGATAACCTGTAATAAAAAAGAAATATAGTGCTTTCAATGGACAAAAACATAAAACTTAAAATTGAAACCCCACTATCCACACAATCCAGACCAAGTACCTGACAAGGCTGATTTCCCATTCCAGACAGAGCATAGAGGCATTCCAGAGTCATGATCAGAAGATGGATATCAGGCACCGTGAGGAGGGAACACACGGAGTCATACACCTAGACCACAGCAGAAAAGGATTATGTGACCCACATAGAACTACCAAAGACCATCAATGTGATCATGAACAAAACTAACCTCATTCCTTAACAACGAAATAAGGAATTCTTCATTTTGATCTTGGGAAGATAACTTGCTCAGAGTTTCCAGGGCAGCAAGGAGTCTACCCCTGTCTCTTCTGCTCATGATGGTATCACTAATATAGCTGAGATATGATACAAACACGGGCTTCAACTGGACATTTGACAATTGCAGTTCCTGGCTCAAGTTTCCTAGGGTATCCCAAGCCAGCTGGGGTAAGGAACCATAATTGCTGCTCAAGCACGCCAAAATAAACCTGCAGGACAGACAAAGTGTTTCTTTCCTCATGCAAGCAAAATAGACAAGATACATTTTATTTTAGGTCTGGGGCCAGTCTGAAAGAAGGTAAATGGATGTACACTGAAAGTTACATGTGGCACCCACTGGATCATCAAAGTGATCTTGCAAACCACATGACAGCAAGTCTGGAACCACTTACATATGGGCACTACCAAAATAGCAGTGTTGCCTCATACACATCATTTTTCCAGAGGAAAATTCTTCTATCTATTCTTAATGTCTACCACTTCCGAAAATACTGTAAGCCTATCTCTTGTCATCTAACAATAAGAACCCCAACTATGTTATGGAAGAAACCTAATGAAAAGCCATGGCCAAAAAATCTGCCTTTGGCATCTTAAGCAGGAGTACAGATGGTCAAAAAATCGGCCACATGGCACTAAAAGGGTTAATGCAATACATCTGGTTTGAAAGATAATCAAAAGCAAATCAAGCTTCCTAGAAGATGGTTGGATGGAGTACCTGAGGCATGGGACTGCAGCTGCCATGATCTTGGCATTCCTCTCTTCAAAGCTGATATTGCGAAGAATGGAAGCAATCTGAGTCACCCGCTGCCCTTCCTTGTCAAGCACTCCAAGGCATCTTCCCAGTGTAAACAGCTCATAGTCACTGTCACAACCATCTTCATCTATATCACAGATATTAGATGCACTGCCCTCCTGACCCTCACAAGAAATAGCAACAATCTCTGGGTCATCCTCTGTTGCTACACTATCCCTGGATGGTGATAGAAGGCATTCTTCTTCCTCCTCTGCTGGTTTTCCCAGAAAGTGATCCAACACCAAATCTTTCACTCCTTGCTTCTGAATCACTTCTTTCCAAAAACGGATGAGGTTCAGGGTCCTTTGCTCTTTCCAGTATTCTTCTTGCAAGATTCGAAAACCCTCTAGATAGGTGAGAATACAGCCTCATGTGAAAAGCCCCTCTCATTGACAGAACCATAATGCAATAGAAAAAAATATGTTCCTTACCGTCTCTAAAAATGCCAGCATGAAAGAGGAGATAGTCAAGGACCTGAGGGCACTTCTCCAGTTGCATGGAATACTTGCCCTCATTCGCCAGTAGAGTGCACACATTGAGGGCGAAGTCCCTCTCATTTGGCAAAGGGGATAGGAGGGACAGTCCAAGGCGATCGTAGTCGCTTGCATGGTAGACGGTCTGTGACAGTTCTGTCATCTGCCTCACGGTTTCTGCAGATAAGAAGAGCAGAAGAAATTAGACAAAGTTTCACTCGATTGGGAAACAAGAGAAAAGTAATAGTCTCACCTGACATATTATGCTGCTGGGCATTGTAAGTGAGAGGAACAACTTGCTGGGCATAGGTTAAACGCCTCTTGGCCCTCGCCCCATCTTCGTCGCCGTCCCTGGACCTGTCCAAGTCTTCTCCTAGGAAGTGGAGGCGTTCGTAGTGATCCAAATACCTGGGAAAGAGCAAGCACGGGAAATGAATGACCTGACGCCGCGCAAAGGGCGGGGGAGGGGGTTCGGCGACCGGTGCAGGAGAAGGCGCGCTGATCGACTGGGCGGGGCGCGAGCGGAAGTGAACCACCACGTGCTTCCCACCTCCTGGTGGAGTGGAGCAGACTAAGGAGAGCAGAAGCGAGAGAGAGGAGAGAGAGAGAGGGAGCAGACCCTGGCCGTGGCCTGGCCTTGCTTTGCTTTGCTTTGCCATGCTCACCGCTTGGCGGTCTCAGTCTTCACTCTTCGGCTCCCTTTGAAGCAGACAGGTGCCTGCAAGCCATCCCATTCCCCTCAACCCCCCCACCTCAAAAATACCACGTTATATTAATAGAAGGAAAGACCTCACTAGCGTCTCATCTTTCTTTCCAATTCGTTGAGGCATGGGCTTAGGATAAGAAGTTATTGCTCTTGCAAACACTCCATTTGTACGCGTTTCCCAATATGCCTGCATGAAAAGGCGTTCGACTCGAAAGATAGTGGGTTTCATTTTTTCGTTTCTGCGATATGGAAGGAGTATTGCTTATTCGTTTCTATTCTCCAAATTACAGCTTCTTCCACGAAACATAAGTCTCCTTAGCTCGCCAGGGAAGCATCGAGGAACCCCTCGACCAGCATGCCAAACGATAAACGTCTACTGCGCTTCAAATTCATAATATTCCTTTATTTTTAAACGGCCAGGAGTTGTTGGAAAAAGAAACCAACAGGTTCACTGGCTTTGAGCAGGATGCTACTGAGATACTCATTATTAAGAGTAAGTCCAAATTTGACGAGGAGGAAGACACTGCACAACAAAAGGACAAGTATTCATCCCACTCGCACAAACGACGCCAACGGACCACCAGTTCGGGAACCGAGACCATCAGGAATGATGAAAATCCACATTGTAATGGCCTCCATGTTATACGTAACTCATAAACATTGCCGTTTGTTATTGGTCATGTTCTGGCAGTGGAGTCTCTTCCGTATGGATATTCTCCTCTGCACATCAAACGGGACTCCAATTGGAGAAGGCATCGATGATTCCTCGTTCCTGTTGGATTCCTTTCGCACGCTCTCCGTGCCAAAAATCGCACGACAGATGGCGAAAGCAGACCTATCAGACAGCATTCCCCAGCACCAAATCCGGAAGCTAACATTCTCGTTCTTAAGAGGCCAAGTGACACTACAAGTCCGACAACAGGATTTTATTTCTCCCCAGTATGAAGTTACAAGACACGATTTCAGGAGACTGCCAACGAAACTCTTCCGAGAAGGAAGGAGGATAAGTACGCAGGAAGATAGAAAGTTCCCCGAAAGAAATGCTCCGGACCGCTAACGACGAATGCAAGGACGTGAGACTCTACTCGCTGTCGACAGAACTAAGACCGGATTACATCAGACGGTAGGAAAGAGCAATGAAACTCGCAATAACTCGCTTTCTCAAGAGAGAGTGGCACGATGAAACAAGTAACATTACAGAAGGATCGATCGCCAAACTACCTCCTACTTGATGTACCAAGCCGAAACACTCCAAATTCTAGTTATGCTATCTAAATTCGTGAAAGCGAAGCACTTACTCGAGCGACATACTACTACGAGTACTACATTACATACCTTCTATTTCATGAAAAGGTTCACGAGACCGTACAGGGTAAACTTTTCTACTGTCTTCATTCAATGTGAAGTATGGAAAGGAAGCACTTGAGGGCAGCGTAGGCTCAAATTATGTAAATAGTCAAGGAAAACAATTGTATGTTGGCTTGGCATTGCATTGCACCTTCAGTTTAAGCAAGGAGCAGACTTTCTTTCAAATCAGGCCACACCTTGAAAACCTATCCTTTATACGTACTGGATTCGGGATAAAGCAAATTTATTGAAATGCTTGACAACATAGAATCAACAGCTTAGGCCAACATAACACCGGTAGATAACCCAATTCCAGCTAGGGTACCACAAGTCAGGATCCCAATTGCAGTTCAACAGTACACCCTCTTGTTGCATAGGGCAGTATGGGAACTCTAGATAGGAAGCCCCAATAAATTTCAGAATTAGGTGCGGGTGAAAATAAAAACAAATACCATGTCAAGTTGGACCACTGTGTCTAATCGTGCTTCTTTTCCCCTCGTAAAAGGCGACGCAAGGGTTTACCCGAGATGAACTCAGAACTCATGCATCTTTGAAATTGTTGCTGGTGTGACAATAAAATCCACTAATTGATGGAGATACCATCAAAATGTGAGAAATTTTCAAATAATTGTTTAAGTTTTGCTGCTCAAACAAACTCTCGCAGCATAAAAACGTCAACCCGTCTCACGCTGGCGCTCTAGGAAATACAGGACAAGTATAAAAAAAAGTATGCGCCCACTCCATCAACTGTATGTGCGCTTCCGTTACTTTTTGTCACATCCGTGCTGCGACTTTCCGTCATTGATCCCCGTGGAGTACATGATGGAAGTCCCGCCCAGTTTTCGACGGACCCATCATCAGCACTGTCCATTGGGCGGGAAACGAAAGAGGTTAAGTCGCGTTCCTCTTTCTATCTAGTACTTAACGCGCTTGCGAAAATGGAGGTGTACAGGTGCCATTTCTGTGTTGGTGGGCGTATCGGTCGTTTATAATGCGTGCCGCGGGAAGGAAGAGCCACGCCAATACAGCCTGAGTAAAGGCCTCTAATCAACGAAGGGCCGTTCCTTTCAACGACGCGCAGCATCACGCATGCGCTACTTGGGAACGGTCCCAGTTGAGCTAGCTGACGGGAGCACGAGCTGAGTGGCAGGCATGGATGCTCGAAAGGAACGAATGACATGCCTCCTCTCTCTCCCCCCCCCCCCTCCACTATTCGACGGAGACGCGGCAAACCATGGAAGGTTCTTGGTCTCAACGACCGATGAGTGAAAGAAATATGAATGGGGGTGGGTAGGTCTATCTCGCAAGCACACAGACTCAAGCGCGGAGGAATAAAGCTGGCCCCGAGGCACATGCATGACTTGGTGATTCAACTCGGGGCCCGGCCCGACTCCTCAGTCCCCACAATCGTGACTAGATCGCAGCGAACCTCCTCTCCATTTAGTTCTCGCCTCCCTTCGATTCTCTCCCCCCCTCCCTCTCTTTCTTTACTCCATGCTCCGGATGGATGCATCTTTTTTTCTCATGTTCTCTTTCTCCCTACAATGGTATTACGATGGACTCCACAATGCTGGAATCTTTGTTAGCAACTGCCGTCATTTTCTCCCCGTATCTACACCGATGTCTAACGCTTCACAAGATATAGATAAATAATAAAACAGAAAAGTCACTTAGGTGGGGGAAGAAATTGAGACCTTTATCTAAGGCAGTGGTTCTCAACCTTCCTTTTACTCCCATTGAACCTTCATGCATTCGGGGGGGTGACAGAGTGACACCTCCCAGGTTGAGAACCACTGATCTAAGGAATACCAACATTTTGAATTCCACAGCATACGACGCGCTCAAGAAGTCCCATCCCAATCTAAAGTGTGGTGCGAAAGCTATCTGTAGTGAGGACTTTCATCCTTCAAATGGATGGCGGAAACGCGATTACGTAACAACTCCAGGGCTATTCGTTCCTATATTATCTCCGTGGGATGGGAAATGTCTTAATTTGAAAAAAAAATCCTACTTTTCCCTATAATACTGAATTCAACAGTAGAATTTTGTATCGCGCTGTTGCGTTATAGGGATTCAGTCAAGAAAGTGGTGTTCTGTGTCCAAACCACCGACTTTCCCCGTAATCAGTCCATTCCACGACTAGTTGAGAAGGACCAGCAACTAGGGAGCATCACAGGTAAGCCATTATGGTCAGTCTTTCCTCCTTCTGCCACTGTCATTAAATGACTCGATAGTAATTCATGTTTTATTAACATGCTGTATTAGTAACAAACATGTGTCTTGACACATTCAATCAAGTGTCCAGCCCCCCCCCCCCCGACTCCCCTAATAACATAAAGAGCTTTCGGTAACAGTGCAACATATATGACCAGGGCAGTTAAAACCTTATCCTGACGGGACAAATTTTTTTCCCTTGTAGCGAACAATCAAGACAAAAAAAAACTTCTAACTTTGCTTTTGCTTCATCAATTGCTCTCGGATTGTGATTTCTGGGGAAGCCCAGGAAGTGACAGGTTTTGATCGGTGCTCTAAAACTGAGCGAGTATAGTGACTGAACTCTTTCTTGCAGCATGGATCAGTATTACATTGACAATAAAACGTTCTTCTCTACTACCACATCTATTTTCACGCAGGCAGCAGTCCAGATTACACCAGGCATATTTATCGCTTCCATTGATTACGCGTGCTGACAAATATTCAAGTTTTAGCATGTACTGTTTTCCATTCCAGAGCATACATTATACGACTCGGAGCCAAAAAGGTATTCTGTACCGCAGCGCCGGTTAAACAAAAAAATCGCGGAGACGGATGGGAAGCCTTAGAACCAAATCGAGTGGGAAGTGACTCGGAAAGTAGCGAGTGATCATCTCTCCGTGACTGGAGACAGAATGGCGCCACTAGTCTGCCATCCTCGACGCTGGACTAAGGGGGTTTCCCGACCTCCACCCACCATCGTGACGTCACACCGACACATCACCATGCGCTTTACGCTCCAGACAAGGGAGGGAATGAGCCAAAGGAGAGCGCGAGGGGGGGAGGGGGGGGGGGGCGAGAGACTGACTGGCGTAGCATACTGAACCAAGAGTAAGTTTGCGGGAAAATTGAGGAAAGAGGGAGAAGATGATTCATTTAAGACTCACCTCAGATAGATGTGCTTCAGAGCCACGGCTGCGTTGACGGTTTCCAATTCCTGTCCGAATTCTGGCAAAAGGCTCCCCCATTCATTTCGGGAATTCACCTGCAATGATCCGAACGAGATTACTGCACCCCTGAATTTCTGGCAAACCAGTTCCAGGTTAGTTAAGTATGGTAAGTTAAGCATAAGATGATAAAGTTCAGGGGTCAGTACCCAAAACATGCCCAATGATAAATTCGTAGAACCAAAAACTGAGTTGCCCCGATGCCATTAAGTCCGACCCACACACTGGATCAGCAACAGTCTTACTAAAAACGTTCTTATCACAGATCACAAGATGAACATAATTAATAAAAGTTTGGAGTTGAGGAAATTAAATGTATTTCATATAACATACAATCTAAACTTCAAGTTCGATTGTTCTACTAAAATCGCAACTGACTTTCAACCAACATAAAATCCTTTGTTATTGGCCAGTCAAGCATAGCAACGTCTATGACCTAGAGCCATCAAATATCGTTAACCATCATCCCCCGTAAGAATCAACACAGAAGTCCATTCTCCGGGACAAGCTCCAATAAATAAATGCACCGGTGTGGGAGAAAACTTTTTCTGTGCAGGTGCATATTTGGGACTTACTCGTATGCAAAACCGGTGCTAAATGCTAACACCCCAAAACGAACATATCAGATAGACATCCCATCAAGTTCTCTCATTCCCAAGTCATTCCGAGCAAAAATCCCATGTCAAGTTCAACAATGATGGGGGCATATCCTCCCAGCAACTGGGCACAGCGCGAGAGCAGCCGACTGGGGATCGGGCAACCCTGGTGGTGAGGAGCACACTCATATATCGATTGCTAGGGTTGCACGGAATAGGGGAAAACGAGCGAGAGCAGGCGAGACTCTCCCTTCTCCTTCTGGAATCTCCCGCTCTTGAACTCGTCTATGTTACAACCCTGAGTTTTCCCATGCCGTTATCGTAATTCGCTGACCAAATTCACTCTTCCATGTTCTCTCTATGCTTTCCCTGGCTGTGATATACGAGGAAGAACGAGCACATAGTTATCGACCAATGAACGAGCTCGCTCTTTCTCTTTCGGATTAACTTGCGAGCGAGCATGGGAGGGGGAGAGAGGCTAGTTGGCGAGAGCGCAGCAGTTGAGCCGCGGGATCGAGCAACCCTGCCTGTTAGCTGGGCTCGACTCGCACCGGAACAGAGAGAGAACTCCCTCCTCTCCGTGTCCATGGTGGAACAATGGAGAGGAGGGAGAATTATTTAGTGCCCCCGGCAACTGCTGCTCGTTCTCAACATGAGCTCTCAGCACTCAGCAAATGCTTTTCTTCTCCATTGCCATACATGGATTATAAATTAACCCAAGCATCAGCCCAATAATGTTACCGCATTCAGCCTGAAACCATTAATTCAAGCAGCATAAGCTATAATTTATAGGGCGGTCAAAGTGGGACAAAAAAAAAACGCGTATAAATTTCAAAAGCCTGACTAGGTTTCGTAGTCTTAGGGACAACCTACATAGCTGTTTTCGTAAACGCTAGCTCTACGTGTCCATAACTTCCCCGGGTTGTTAGAACGGCACGGATCGTGAAGCATGTGGCGTGCGGGGTTCCCTTTCACTCAAGAACGTATAATACGAGCGCTCCATAATGCGTGAGGAAAGGGCACATCAACCATCCACTTTCAGGCTACCACAGGTAGTGATGTTGTTCCAGACAGCGAGTTGCTAGATCCTTCAAAAGGATCCTTTCTAATCGTCGAAAGAAATTTGGGCTCAAAATTCTTATGTCACTGACGCGTGATAGAAATTAAAATTTTGCAATTGGGTAATGTTCAGTTTGCTAATTTCACGGGCAATGGATCGTCCCCTTTGAACGCTAGAGAAGTTTGACGATGAGAAAAGCATTTCTCCGAAAGTTTCCCACGTTCGAAATTCAACGGTCGGCATCCAATGCGACGTCATTCGAACAATTGTGCCTTGTAATTAATCATAAACCGAGAGAGAGGGCTGCGTTTGATGTACGCTTGTGACTGACGCTCGACTTTGATTCACTGCGATAAATTGGTAACGAACTTATGGTGTCCCATAAATTCATTGCCAAAAAATGTTCAACAGAAGCAGTCCCTCTACTACCCATTTAGTTTAAACCCCCGACGGTGTTGAAAAATCGGTGAACAGAGACAACGTTTCGTTAAGGAACTACCCCATTCCAAGAGGATTCATTAACGGGGTTGATCGGGTCGGTGGGTCGGAGGAGGTGGAGGACCACGTGGGTCTCCTCCGGCCGCGAGTGTCAGCCGGAAAGCGAGTGAGGGAGAGAAGAGATGAGAGAAGCGAGGGAGAGAGAGAGAGAGTGAGCCGGGAGAGTCCGATGAAGGGACGGCATGGATCCCACGTTGCACTTGCACTACACTATAGTGGGCTCTACTCCCTACACCGCGCTTCTGCCATGTGCTAGCATGGACAGCGGCTTTCAAAGGATATCGACTCAGATTCGCAAGGAGCAAAGCCAAGGCGGAAAATCACCCACTCACCCTTTCCCATCCTCCTCTGGCTACAACCAAAGCATACAGATGGTGGAGGTCAATCTCCTTTCCTGAAATCCGGGGGAGATGCGAAATGGGAGTCCTACAACAGGAAGGAACGTACATCACAATAATGACACGTACCAAGAAGTAAGGACGTTGGGGGCACTGGGAGAACTATGGTCTACTCACCCTCTTGCAGCATGAAAATCTTTCAGTGCTTTGAGGAACTCCTCCTTCGTAGATCCAAAAGGAAATGGGTCCTTTTTAAGTACATTGGCCATTCTTTAGTCTCATCAACCCATTTTTGTTAAAATCACCAATCAACAAAGTAGGTATAACTCAAAGGAAAAGTCAACATGGCTTTGAATCAACAACCTGGAGAAAAAAAGAAAGCCAACCATTTCCAAAATAACATTTGACAATAGCTCATCAAGCCCATCAACAGATTACTTGACTAATCTCCCTTCACAAAATTTTTCAGCTTAAAATTTTCATGGAAACTTTATCCAAGAGTGAAAAGCGAGCAAAACTCCTTACTGGCAACCATTAAGGAGTGCACAACTGAAGATATGAAAACCTTTATCACAGATAGCTACCTCCAAAAATTCACATATTCAAAAAGTATTTTTTAAATCTATCCCTGAGTGCCATAAGTCACATACTTAAACTTTAAGGATATAAAAATTGAATGTAAATGCAGGAACACTTGCATACATTTGTAGGATGTATTCAAGAGTGAATTTGCATGACTCTGAAATAACTTGCCTTAGCAAAGGTGGAATAAAAATATCATGTATCAAAACTAAACCAACTCAATGCTTACAGAAAATCAGACATAACTAGGGGTTGACTATCAAGGTGATGCATGGAACATACTTGAACTGCAGAACAGCATATCAATACTATTTGAATGTTAAAATAACACCTCAACATGCAGATTCTGACTAATTTGAAGAATCTGCACTTGGACATATGTTAAAGAGTTTTAAATTCTGGGCTCATGCATATGCATAGGTTTCATGTTGGTAATCAATGCCTTTGCAGGGAGGCTGGTTAAAATTGCCAGTTAACATTACAAATGAACATGGGCCCCATTGACACAAAAAGAGTACACAACATGCATTGATCTCCACATACCATATAATGTTCCTGAAGGACTACCAAAGTCTTACTGTGAGCCTGAACCAACACTCCAAATATCACTTAATTTAAGGAGCCTAAGGGCATGTTTTACATGAGCCCAGAATGACTTTGTACCAAGTATGCCAATGGCAGAGCTTATAATAGGACTATTAGAGTCAGTATAAGTTTGGTTTATATACAATTTAAGGGTGGACTTTTGAACAGAGCACTATCCAATAATGCAGCTTTAGTTCAGAGAAATTGCATTATAAATCCGGTAAATAAAGCTGCATTATCAGATAATGCTCTGTTCAAAAATCCACCCTAAGACTTCCAATTATTGCTCCATCATTTCTAGGCTACTGCAATATACATTAATCCAACATGAAACTGAATAGAGTGGAATATTTCCCTGCCTTGCCAAAGATGCAATAGTATGAATATGGGAAATAACATGAAACTGAAGCATTTCACCATTTATCACTCAGCATAAATTAAAACTGTACACTCAAAATTCTTACCAATCAAATCTACAAAAAAATAATGAATCTATGCAACCCACAGCTTCTGAAATCCTCAGTCATACTTTGGAATGGATTCTCAGCCTTGATAAATATACCTTTGCCTACAGGGAAGGAAATATACACAACAGAATATGACAACATTTTATAAGCTCAAGCTGAGCTGACATGTTTGGTTAGTAACACATCAACTCAGAAGTTATACCATAGAGGTGACAGTATTTTACCAGTTACTAGCAGGCATAGTGGTTACTCAATCAGCCTTGCAATCTATCCTTCCTAAGGATCTAGTACTTATAATTTTAAAAAATGTTGCTTTTAGTGAAAATAAACTAGGGTCAAGGCTCTTTCACAGATGCCACTCTCCTCACTTTTATTTTTACAACTTCCTTGAAGGAAAGTAACATCAATCCTTTGAAACCAATTTTATTTGTTTCAGGAAGCACATTCAGGGGTTATAATCGTGAATTTATGGCATTATTGGATTAGGTTCACTGGAAACATACAATGGAAAAGTTTGTGAAGGAGTATGCAGATGAAATTCATATAAATTTGCACAAAGTGAAGTTAGAAGCACAAGTCTGTGGCCTAAAAAAAAAGGATCCTATAAGTATGTAAACCTATAAATACAAATTATGGCAGTGAGATAGACAAGAAATAACAAAAAACACAAAACAGAGAGCAAAACTCAAAAGAGAGATTCAAACTTAAAAATAAAAAACCCACCAGCATAGGCTTGGGCTTTTATTTGACATAGCCTCAAACAGGCTAAGCTAAGCAGTGAATAGGCTAAGCTACGTTGTTCGGCATATTTGGGGATTAACCTTCACCTATTGTTATCCAAAGCAGAGGCACAGGTTAATAATGATTCCAACAGTCAGCGACAGACACAACGGTGTGGCCTAAACAAGTCTAGGAAAGGCGTGCCTTTACGTCTACCATAGGCCAATAAAGCAGTAGCCTGCGCAAGGCATTACACAGATTCGAAACGGAATTCATACCTGATCCTCATCCTTGATAATAATAATTAAAAACTCTACAGATGGGGAAATTACCAACTGAAGCTCAGGAGTCAAGAGAGTTCAGCCCCTGGCGTATCATAGGCCTAGCCTCGCACACACAACAGTAGGGAATATTCAGACCGATTCCATCAGGCCATCACGGTGATTGGGAAAAAAAAAAGTGAAACGAACCGCTTACGCTAAGTTGCCGACACAAGCGGGAAGAGGGAGCGGAACGCGGCACCTAGATAGGCAGACCCTGTCAAGCTATGCCTGGGCGGGTGAGGAAGGCAAGGCATGGGCAGCAGCACAGGGGGAGTTGCGACGGGGGTCTCTCGCCACACAACGGGCGCCCCCCTCCCAGCCCAGTCCGCGGGGACAGCGAGAGGCTTCCCTTCCTCCTTCACACACTCACGCTCCCTCCGGTCCACCTCCTCCTGCACTCCTCGCGTATGCAAACCCTATTACAGCAGCTTTTGGAATGAAGAAACCCAAAGAATTTCCCTGGCAATGCGTCTACTACAGGCAGCTGGTCGAAGCGGAAGCGAGCCACACAAAATGGCGACAGAAATGTTTCGCAGCTGTGGCTACAAAAGCTAGTGGATTTCACGTAACAGTTCCATTTCAACCGCGGCAGAAGAGACTTTTTCAATGGAACTATGGGGTTCGTGTTGAAGGTCGACTGAAACCGGGCCCTTGTCTCAAGAAATGGAAAAAAACACTAGCCAATCGGAGGAGGAAATTGCTGCGTTGGAATGCTTACGTCATTCAAACGAGGCTAGAGGCGTAGTCAACGACAGCTCCTGACATCTAGGAGCAATCTTTGAATACAGATGTTAGGTGAAGCCAACAATGGGTACGCCGCAATCCCACGAAGGAAGTATGCAGTATGGCACCTTGCTGCGGGTACTCGTAAGTATCGGCGGCCTTTTTGTGAACGAAAATGCCTTATGCAAATCAGCCCAACATACACTTATCTGAGTTGACAGAAGACAATGTCAAGTTTCAAGTAGAAGAAACTGACTTAAGGTAAGAGCCATTCTGATGGTCACTCGTAATCATGGCCATAGCAGAGCCACGGGTTAGCCTGGAAAATCGCACCTATTGTGAAAGTTGGCCCCCAATAAAATATTTTCCAATAAGTTTTCCTTCTTCCATCCATGCTGACGACAATGAAGCTCCTAGCAGTACTGGGACCTGTTCCTCACCTCGCTAAGCTTGACCAAAATTAAAACTTAAATAAAGATCCATAAACATTTCTGAATAGGGTGACCAGGATTTTTAAAAAGGAAAATAAAGTACATTTTCCTTACGTTTACAGTTCACATTAGGCGGATGAGCTGCTTGCTATCGATGAGAGGAACTAAAGGGAAAATCCCTGAATAATTATCTGAGAAGGGCAGTGCCTCCAAAACAGCCTACCCTGGTTTTACTGGGACAGTTTGGTCATCCTATCCTAGAAGCAAAAAGACTGGTCCACCTCAGTCTAAATGATTGGATGAAGGATGAGTTGACTCACATTTATGTTTGTTTCATTTCATGCACAGGTCCAAAATCAGTGCACACAATTGCCAGACATGATCATGTAATTTAAGCTGCAGTGTAGGTCCTGTAGTGTTTCTTCACTCAGGTCAGACAATTTTTCACTCAACTCATGCATGGGACATTCATCCTGCATGAGTGCCAAAGTCAATTGAAAAAATGTCTGACACAAGTGAGTTTATATATGGTTTTCACTTTAATTCACTGCCTGATGGTGTCATTTCACTCTTTCACTTAATGTTTCTGGGCTATAGTGGAGACTAGTTACAGCTTGGTCCTAACTTGCAAAAATATATATTTTATTAAATTTTCAATGGCAAAAGAGGGGAAGAATGTGTAGCTGATAACCCCCTCATCTCAGATACTTCCATGTCACCAAATCTAGGGCTGGGGAGTGTGTCTTCAGTTTCCCCAAGAGCTAGTTTTCAGCTTTTCAATCTTGCATTCTCTGCATGAACCCATGAAAATGAATTGAAACCCTCATTCCAGCAGAGGTTTTTCTTACCAATGGCCATGGTGCAGTTGGCATGAATGAACTTTTAGACTTAGTTTAAATTTAGATTCAAAGTAGGTGGGGCAGGGCTGAATTAAACATTTGACTCCAGGTAAAGCATATTCTGGGCCTGCCTCTTCCCAATGCCTCTGGGTTGGGTAGAAGAAGGGATCTAGTAGAAGCAGAGGGAAAGGAAGGTGGGTTGGGTAGTAGGGGCAAAATCTCAAGAAGGGGTGTAAAAACCCCTGAGCATACCCTTTTCCATTGTTCCTATGGTTCATGGATGTCCACTGCTCCCATACTGATAGTTCAGTATGGGAGCAATGGGGTGGGGAGATAATGGTTCTGGTTTTATACCTACTCACCCTTCCCTGCCTACCCTGTGTGCTCTAACACTTATTTAGCACTGAGGTGAGGAACAACAGACACCCTTGCTTTTTACAGTCCTTTCAGTTCAGGTTAGATTAAGTTTAGCAGAAGTGAGGAACAGGTCTCTGAAAACGCAACTCTACCATCACTCTCTTCCTCAACAGTGTTGCAAATGCAATCCGGAGGGTGTTCCATGCTGAAACACCAACGCTTGCAATTGATTGGGTCCAATTGGAAGCCAATTCCACAGTTCTCAGTGATGAGTTCATTGCACATCGCCTGGGAATGATTCCTCTCACATCAGATGAAGTGATTGATAAAATTCAATACTCCAGGGTGAGTGGCAGAAAGTTTTCATTTTGCTAATTCTGCATCGATATAAATATAATGGTTCACCTGTGAGAATCTTTGTAGTTCAAGTTATATTTCATTTTGTTTCGTAGGATTGTAATTGTGCAGACTTCTGTCAAGACTGCAGTGTGGAGTTCACTCTGGATGTGAAGTGCACTGATGACCAAACAAGGCATGTTACTACTGCAGATCTGAAATCCAGTGACTCACGTGTTGTACCTGTAACTTCCAAACGGAGAGAAGATGAAACAACTGAATATGGTGAAACCGAAGGTTAGTACCTGTAGGCTACAAGCACAGTTTGCTTGCTATGGCAAGTATGATATCTTAATGTTTATAGTAATGGTACCAAAATCATGAAGATAAAGAGTCACCCTTTCATCTTGCAGATATCCTGATAGTGAAATTACGAAAAGGACAAGAGCTGAAGCTTCGGGCATATGCAAAGAAAGGGTTTGGGAAAGAACATGCCAAGTGGAACCCAACGGCAGGGATTGCTTTTGAGTACGACCCTGACAATTCCTTTCGTCACACTCTCTTTCCAAAGCCAGAGGAATGGCCCAAGTCTGAGTATTCTAAGATGGAGGAAGATCAATGTAAGCCAAATTTATACTGACTGATGTAAAATTTCATGGTTGATTTTGCTTGAGTATGTTGTTTTTCCTCTTCCAATAGATGAAGCTCCCTTTGACTCTGAAGGTAAGCCAAGCAAGTTCTATTTCAACTTGGAGAGCAGTGGAGCTCTAAAACCTGAGAACATTGTGCTTCATGGTTTGGCCTTTCTCAAAAAGAAACTCTCTGATCTCCAAATGCAATTAAGTCATGAATGCCAAGCTGATCCTCTAACAATCAACTGACCCGTTGGATCTCCTCTTCAATAAATTGTATTTCATTCCAATTCCTTTGCTTCAGTGATTCGCAAGAGGGACTTGTTCCAATGGCATGAACCATTACTTAAATCTCTATTGGTATTGTATACATTATATGGCTGGGAACTAGCTGAAAGCAGAGAAGGAAACAAGAATGAGCCACAGCTTGTCAACATGCAGAGCATGCTCATAGGAGGAGCAATTCCAGTGGCTTTCCTTAAATTCTGCTTCAAACTCCAGACTTAACAATGAGAACCCTCAACCTGTCTCCCCTCTCCAGGCTCTCATCATCCTTTTTCTCCCTGCCCCCAGAAAAAAGTTTGCCTTGCTCCTCCTTGTCCATAGTTGACTGTTTTCCTGGTGTACTACAATATCTTTAACCCCTTCACCAGCAAGTTTTAAGATGCCAAAGGAAGTCAGCCCAAGTATTTTCTGAGTTTGCTGGTGAAGGGGTTTAGGCACATAATGTATGACATGGGTAAGACTAATCTTCATTTTGATGGTCACTGTTGAAGATTCATTGCCTTCAGTTTTCTGATGACTAAAACTCATGGAAATGGCAGGTGATAGAGGTCAGCAGGCAATATGCAAGCCAGCAGAGGTGTGGGTCGTCTTCTGGCCAAGAGGTCTGCCCTCTTCCTCTGTGACATGCAAGAGAAATTTCGCAATAACATACAGTACTTTGGGCAGATTGTTGAAATATCTAATAGACTCCTTGTTGCTGCCAAGACTATGGATATGCCTGTGATCTGTACTGAGCAGTATCCCAAAGGTGTGGAAGTCAATTTCAAATTCTCCCTCCTGAAATTTGAATTGAAGGTGTAGAGATCTTACTTTCTTCTTCCAGGTCTTGGAAAAACAGTTTCTGAACTACAAGTTGAGAAATATGGTGTAAAACCTTTTGAGAAGACACAATTCTCAATGTGCATTCCACCTGTTATTGAGGAGCTGCAGAACCAAGAAACCCCTGTATGAAACTTCATTGAAACCATATTCAACCACAATATGTATTTTTGAGGAAGAACTGTAAGTTATGTATTATCATTTGGCAAGGCTGCAATTTAACCATGCAAATGCTATGGCAAAGGGACTGAGTTCATTTTGATGTAATTTTGTAGAGACTCGGTTGCAAACTAGAATCAAATCCTTTGGACTTTTTCACTCCTCTCTCTTGTTACTGTTTGCAGTGAAAGTTTGCAAGAACTAAGTTCTTGTGCATATGTGCTGCAAAATTGGCACCAATCATGACTGAAAGTCAAATGTGACCCATCTCTTCCTTCTTGCAGATCAATTCTGTCATTCTCTGTGGGATAGAGGCCCATGTGTGCATCCAGCACACAGCTTTGAGTCTCTTGGACAGGGGATTTGATATTCATGTTGTAGTAGATGCATGCTCATCGCGTTCCATGACTGATAGGTGAGTCATGGTGCTTGCTTAACACATTTCCTTTCCTCTGTCTCTGAAGTTGGCATGTTCCTTTATGTCTTATGCATTCGTGAGGGTAATATTGTGACTCTTTTCTAGAATGTATGCCTTCCAGAGGATGATGCAATCAGGAATTTACTTGACAACAAGCGAGAGCGTGATCCTTGGTCTTGTGGCTGACTCCAAGCACCCAAAATTCCGTGAAATGCAAAAGATCATCTGGAATTCAGCTCCTTGTACTGGACTACTTCAGAAATCATTAGAGGACACTCAAATGGAGGGATGAAGTATTTGCTGAAAGGACTATATTGCATATCATGACTTGGATCCATGCTGTGCATGTTGAAAGAAAGAATTCAAGTTTTCATTATTGCTTGCTATATTTTTGCGTTTCAAGGTGAAGAGGCTGTTCTAGCTTAGAATTGCCTTCAAAGAGTATAATACAATCTAACAATAAAGAAATCTCAATAATACTCTTTTTTACTAATTCTGAACTAGCATAGTTCTGCCTTCGAGCAAATCAGGATCCTCGTCATAGAGGAGTGCCACATAGTGCGTTTCGATTATGGCTGTTTCCATGGCGGGTACCGCATTTCACATTCGCCTAGTTCTTGAGGTCGAATGCTTCAATCTTGGATCTTACTCATTTCCCGAAAAGAAATTCTGAGTCTCCCGATCCGTAAATCGTTCGTCGGATATGACTTGCCAGATTTGTTTGGTTAACTCTGCAGACTTGCTCGACTGGAGAATGATGTTCGGCCGGACAAGCGAGGATCGAGAAAATAAAGGAATTCGGAAAAGTAAAAATACAGTTCGAATGTCTCGTCATCCACCAGCTTATAACGTCTCCGTGTCTTTCTCAATGCCTCCTCGCTGAAACTGTAACTCAATCATGGTCACATCCCCTGCGATCTGAGTGGCCGGAACCACACGGTCATAGGTAAGAGTGTGAGGCCAAAGTAGTAACGTGTCCAGATAATCTCAATGGGATGGAGGGGGTTAACATGGAAAATTGGTTTACCACCCTGCATATATAGCCAAATGGAAAAAAAAAGTGGAGAATCGAACCTGTAAAACGTATCCCAATGGAGTTATGACCCCAAAACCCCCCTTGGGCACGCCACTAGGCAAAGGTAAATGGAAATCGCTTGGTTCCATTAAATAATCCCTGTCGTACAACCTGCGAAAGGAAAACTTTTGCTGCTTTCTACCAATTGCCAACTGACCCTCTGCCGCCGGAACACGGTTGCCTCATTCTTATAATGAGTGGCCCGAGATTTAAATTAGATTTATCCGAAAGGTTCTCGGGGATGCGAGTCAGGCTGTTGATGGGTCTCAAGCAGATGCGGATTTTGGCTGATTAACCACTGTGGGGAAAGAGTAGAAAAAGAGGGGAGGGGTGATCACTGGGCGAAAGTTCACTGGGGCGAAAAAAAAAAACCTTGGAGAAGGTGATGGACACTTTCAATGGTTGCCAGGGCAGGGGGGGGGGACCCGTAAAATACGCCGCTAGTCTCAAGGCTTCGCGAGTCATCTTGACGTGCGTCGAGAAGCTATCTAGCATGAACAAATTTTCCATAAGAATTCGCCCGACTGCCTTGCCAAGTCGTGGAAAGAATGTAGAACCTGGCTTGTCCCATTTGGGACTTATTGCTTACTTGAATACTGATTTTCAGGTTCAGGCCATAGCAGCTCTCGAGAATGGCAGCCACATCCGCACCGACGTATGGGTACGGAACAAACAGAACAGCATACCGTTCTTGGAATGATACCGTGGATTTCTGGGTCAATTTGACCGAATCGCCATACAGTTTTGTCAACAACTGATCCGTTCTCTTGAACATCATATCCTTGTCCTGGAATTCGTACTCCCAACAAACACGATTACTGCAGATCGGGCCTGTAAAATTCCTATTCGCCTGCGACGAGCACGGTTTACGGTTTGGCAGGTGAAAAGCAAATAGAGTGACGAGTGGAATGCAAGGAAGCAATGGCGCCTTCCTACCTTCAGCAAGTTTCTGTTACTGACCACCGCTCATTCGAGTTTCGTTCATGGACTTTCAAGCGATCCGACTGTAATATTACTCAAATTTCCTTCATTCTCTTCACAAATGCAGTATCACCTCGCAAGAAAGTTCAGGCATTGGGTTTTCGCTTTTTGATCGTATCCTTCCACAGGTTTGGAAATGGCCTCCAGTATGAGTTCCCGAAGACGAAGTCGTTCCGTCTTGAAATGCAAACGATGGCTAATTTAACTTGAAATGAGAGACTGTACCCAGGCTGTACCCCCCTCGTTTCTTTATCTCTGAGGTAAGCTGTACAGGTTATCAAGCTCTGATATCGTCTGCCTCGAAAAAAAAAAGGCAAATACGGCAGCAGCGCGCAATCTTATCGCATCGCCATGAAAACAACTGTAAAGGGGGGAAAGTGCAGGGAGAATGAGACGGCACGACTCGTGAGTGCTCGGCGTCATGCCACGTTGTGGAATCGCAGGCTTCCTCCTCTCGACACCGTTCGTAGTTGCTTTCACCTCCTCTTTCTACCTGTGTGGACCGACCTGCAACACCGGAAGATTCTCGCAGCGTAGACCGGTGCCTTTAGAAGTTGAGGCCCTTTTCAGCACTTCCGACTGGAAAGGGCTCCTTACTCAGTAGGAAAACTCGTGGATCGGGACCGGTTTCGCAACTCGAGTTCTGAAATTTCAATCCTGAAAAGTTCAATCCGGCTCGGTGAGTGGCATCGGCGTCCACCCGCGAAGCTAATATCTTTTATCGCGAATCGTACGAGTCTCGAAGTCCTTTGGCTTCGGTTTATCAGTCCGTTGGCCTAGGAACATAAACTCCTTTGTTCTTTCATGCAAGCGACTCATCCCCTCATTAGTAATGACCGTTTTCATATGGTAGAAAATTGCAGAAGCCAGTTTGGAGTGTCGACTCACGGCCCACGCCATGTTGAAAACAAGCAACACAAGCTCCCATCTCTTCGATTGGAATTCCGACCCGGGTTGGTCACTCTGCTTACCAATCGAAAGGGCCTTTACTGGACGAATATTTCTCATCCTATCGTGCTGATACATACATACATACATTTCATCCTATCGTGCTGATAATTGTCGTGTTTCCATGCGTACCGGTGACTTGATCAATACGCAGCACTAACGAGAAACCATGGAATCGCGCATGCAGGAAATAATTACTAATGCATACTGCAGCACTATTTGCGGTCTCTCTATGCTAATCGTTGGAGCCATCTGGGCAGCACATCTCACCTTCCACGCCTTCCATGGCCAGTCTGATGAGAGCGTCACATGTGTTCCCTGTGCCTTCACTGCATTCGGGGAAATATTTACATGTAGAAGTGCTAGTTTTGAAATTCGTCGACCCCGACTTCGTGGAAGCGGTAACAAAAGTAGGAATCCGTGAACCCCCCCCCCCTCCCCCCGATGGCACCAGGTTTGTAGAGAATCGGACCGTATAGCCGAAAAGGGGTCGGAGGTAAATGCCGCAGCCGTCCCGTTCAAACCACGGCTCACTATCGCTAAGAAAAAGAACCGAAAGCAACTTTATTTATGATAGGATATCCGTTTGTGGCAATTAATTTTGTAGGTTTTGTTGAACGAGAAGGGCACTCACCAAAGTGAGGAGGTAGATAGATGGCGGTAAATTGAGGGGGTATCCAAAAGTAAATAGTTCAACAGATAAAACTGTCTATGCGCCAGATAGGAAGCCGATGATGTCCCCCACTTTAGAATCGGTATCCCTCGACATTATTCTATCCCATTTTATGGCGATTCACGCATCTAATAATGCATGCTTCAGTTAGTCAACACAGCTGTGTTGACTAACTGCAAGATGATGGCAGTGCTTTTATGGGATTGGAACCGCGTGAACGTTGTCCGCAGCGAGTGCATTTTGTTTCGGAATGCTGCCAAACGAATCGAAACCCGCTGTTCACAGCAGATGTGGCTTATTACTGCATGCTGCAGTGTGAGAGTGAAAGGCTACATTCTGCACATGCAACAAGTGCTACTGTTCAAGAATCGATGCGTGAAGTGGTATCCCATGGAACATACAGTCCGGATCTAGCGCCTCGCGGCTTCCATCTGCTTTGCCTGTCGAAGGAGTCCCTATAGGGCGGCTTTTCAATAGTGACAAAGAGGGACAAAGGGCAGGGCGTGCCACTTCCGTGAACTGTATCCACAGAATTCTTGGCTTAAAGAGGCCAATTTAAAAAAAGTGCATCGCGGACATGAGAGATGACAGCGAAAAGTTACAGGCCCGGCCAAATTCATTCGTATGTTTCTTACATATCCCAAAGAAACACATTCGTCCTTCAACTTTTGGATACCTCCTCGTAAATAGAGATAGTATTAAGAGACAAGAGCTCACACTCAAAGAGCCCCCCAATTCAGCGCTCGAGTGAGGCTCCTTGAACTTTCTGGAGTTCCACTGCAGGGTTGCGCGAAAGATTGCCATCTCTGTTAGGAAAGACTGCTTGGGTATTGCTGTTCTCTCGAAAAATAAATACTATCTGTTATTAATTTCTTCGTTGAGGTGTAAAGTATTTATTGGATCTTCTAAGAACTTAGAAACATGCGGAGGAAGCGAGACGATGCGAGAATTAAAATATTTCGTCTCTGCAACCAAGCAGCTTATGTGTACAAGTAGAAGAAGCATGGTGATAGCACGTGCATCCCCCCATGGTTGGGACTATTGACGAGGCGAATCCAAACACTGTCGCATAGCGACGCTACCTAATCACCAGTAACAGCCAAGTTCTTGTTTGCGGTCTCTTTTGCCGTTCTGAGTTTCACTCAAACAAAAATATTCTGCGGCAGACACGCAGATTTTGAATCTTGGATGATGAGGTCAATGACCTCTTGAAGGCCTAGGCCAAATCATAGGGGCTATGATGGGCTAATACAGGCCCAGCGTGAGGCGTTGCTTCTAACGTTAGAGATGAAGCACTTGCAGTGTATTACCTCTTCTTAGTTTAATTGGCTGGAAAGTTTTTAGAAGGTTTGTGACGATGACCATTATATTATTGAAGAGCTGCATGGTTTCAAGGTAAGTCAAGTAAAAGGACGTCAAATTTAAGTTTAAAAAAAACTCTACAATCAGCACTATAATTGCTATAATCGGCTCTCTCTCAAGGTTTAAAGGTCCAGTTGCTATAATAAAATCTAGAGAAAGTAGCAAATATTCAATTCAAATAAAAAACTGAAGTTATGCCTTATCATTTGTATTGGCCTAGGACTGATAGAATTGAAGTGCACAACTAGGGTGATGAGGCTTGAAATGCTACAATTGATATGGTGCACAGCTAAAGCGATAAGATTTGAAAAGTGAGGTGAGGACGGGGGGGAGGGGAATGACCATCACATGACCCTCATTAGAGGACAAGAAAAACTAGTGACAGAAGAGGAAGAGAAAGAGGATTTTTCATGCACTTATTTGCATGAAATATAAAATTGTTAAACTTGCACTAGTTTGATCAGAGTTGATGTGAGTTGTTGGACGTGTGAACACATTTTCATCAACTGATAGGCTTGCAAGTTATGAGAAAGGATGAACAAAGTGCAAAATTCTTCTGAAAGCATAGGATGATGTCTCAGACATTTCAGTTACTAGCAAACTCATTTGTAGCTAGTAGGCTTAATCCAGGGTGTGCATCTAAGGTCTCCTAGGACCTGAAGAGAAATAAGTTATTAGCACATGCTATATTTTAATAATCTGGTGACTCAGTACCTCATACCCAAGGCTTGGCATTCAAATCCCCCGAATCATGATTGGCAGGTGAATTATGGTACAAAATTGTGAGAGGCTGGTGTACCACTCTTTTGCATGTTTGACAAAAATGACAATCAGTTTCAGAGAGGTGATATCCAGATAATGCAATAATTTCCTGGCAATTACAACAGCTGAGGTTGATGACATAAAATCAGTAATATCAAGAAAATATGCTGAAATTATGCATATTGATATTGTTCATGAGGATGAGCTTTAGAAAATTACTCCACTCTAGGAATAGTAAAATTTCATCTTATAGTTTATAGTTAAGAATTAGATAGACATAGTCCTCTGTTCCCTATTATTCCCCTGCCTAGCAAGTAAGCCTTGGCTATTTTGCTGCTGCAGCTTTAGAGTTAGTCAGATTGATGTTAGATTTGACTTTCATGGTCTTAGTGTAATCAGAGCAACCATGTGCTGAGGTGTTTAGTTGTAGACAACGTATAGCATTCCCAAAGGATACAAAAGGTATTAGACATGGGTAAGTGACAGTTGGACACATAGGGTTGGCTTGCAGAAAAGTGCCATAGTTGGTTGCTGCTGTTCAAAACCCTGTTATGCCAAATTTAAACCTGTTTCATTGCCCTTTTTTTAATTTCTCACATTATATGGATATACTTATCCCATTTTAAAGATTTTAATGTATTTTCAGCCCATTTAGCTACTAACAAACACATGTTCACAGAGGTCTGCATGTAATACCGAAATGCGCTGTTCAAAAGCATGCAACATATTCATTTCATTAACATGCTGCCTCTGATAAGTTTTCCAGCAAGTGCAAGTTACAACTCTGGAAGCAGCTGCTTCTTGAAATTTTTTCTTCAGGCTTCTCGTGGGTCAGAACTAGGGCTGTCTGGATATATCATCAGGTTTTCATGCCGCCAATGCCAACACTTCCCAATTTCCGGTTCTCTGCAAGATAAAGTGGAGCCAGTTCGCGTTTGAATGTAGCCCAGCGCGTTGCTCTCCCCCGTTTCTTTTCCAAGGAAAGGAACATGTGCTTTGGCCTCTTCCATTAGAAAACTAAAACTAAAACTAAAGGGCATGATTAAATTATTGGCATGACATAATTGAATCTCTCTCTGACTGACCTGAGCCAAATGATGGCATCGTGCATGCCACCGCAGACATATGCTCCAAGAAAATACAAGCTTAACCCTTTAATGGGACGCCCGTCATATGACGTTTTAACAGTTGGGCACCGCTGGAGGGCTCCCATCACATGACGGAAGGAATGCTCTCCCGTTAAAGGGTAAATAACAGTTCTGGTCTCCTCCACGCAACTGAAATTATGCATTACGTGTGCGGAGACAGAAATCCCGCCCTAGAGTCAAGGTCTGCGCCGAATCGAATGGAGGCATCGGGCATCCTCTCAGAGCTCCACTTCCTTTTCCCAGAATAAGTGGGATTAGAGCCCAGGATAAGGGTAATACCATCGAAGTTCGAAAACTCCAACGCACTTTGTTAAAAAAAATTATCATTCGCGAGATCGCCCGCAGAAAGAGTTCTTCCAAGCACAAGATGAACATGTTGCCAAGAAAAGGCCACGCGGTGGCCATGATCGTTCGTTTCACACGATTTCAAAATATTGGGCCTAAGTAAATGCAATAGGACAGGAGAAATTCAAGTAAGCGTACAGATATTACCGTACTCGAGAAACGCTTCACATGTGGTATTGTTGATTTCTGTGCACAAATTCTTGTCCCACAGGAAACGAAGGGAACATATAGCTATGAGCATATACGCCTTACTTCCGGTGTGTCCGAACTGAACCAAGATTTTCGCATCAGGTACAGACATCAACATAATAGGTCCTCTCGGATGCTATTATGACAACATCTTTATAACGTTTATAGGGCAGTTCCAGATTTTTGAGTAGCAAACAATCATCATTTGGCATAAAGAAAGATAGTCTATGCCTTCTTTTCTTAAAAATATGGAAGCCTCAGGTCAAGCCAAATCAGACAAAATTGAATGGGAAGCAGCAGAACGAAAACCTAAACTGTATTACGTCAGTAACATGAATGACCTTCCTTTTTTTCATCCGTGGGAGAAAGAAAATTTTGACCAGAATAAGTAAATATATATATACTGTATAAGGCACTGTTAAAGTAGAATTTCTGGATCAAACCATCTTTAACAGGTTGACTGCCACGAGGCGCACCGGTGCGCCTCACTGAATGGGGAAGGGAAATCAATAGGCCAGCATTTTCGTGGCGGTCAACGTGTTAAGATATAGCATCATACATAATTCCATTTTGAGTCTGGTGTTACATCAGTAACTTTGGAACTGCCCTATACCTACTCATATCGTGCTGTCGGTCACCAAAAGTGAAACATCCAGCTTGATGAACGAATAATAATAATATAATAATTATTATTATTATCGAAAATTATAATTTTCAATACGAATCACGCTGTTTTCGGATTGAATTCATACTCCTTATAGAAGCGCTTCCGTTGATAGTACGCAGTGACATCTTCCAGATGGGCGCTTTCGTTGAGTATCTGTTGAAGGAAATCCTCTGGAAGTAGCGCTTCTTTCGTTCTCTACTTCGGGGGGTACTATCAGAAATTTCCCAGAGGAAGCAAGCAGTGCCTCTAAACGGATGTCAGACACCTGCTGACAGCAGTGTAGTCATTCAAAGCACTACTAAGGGGCCGATATATCGGCACTATATACAGTGCTTTTGCGAAAAGTTCACACCTCTCCGATTAGGCGCCACTGGTGTTTCGACTCTAGGGACATTTACCGAGTATCAGTTCATGTCACACGTAAGACAGGAGGAAATAATTCCGTTGCTGTCAGACGGCTCGTAGAAAACAATTGTTTGCATTTAAAAGGTGTGCGGACTCTGTTGGGATGTTGGGATGTAGGACTTGGACTTTCCTGAACAATTCATGCACAACCATTCTGTCATCTGCTGTATTGCTCTATGGTACCTACGCATCACATGGCTTGAAGAGATCCATAAAAAAAAACAGAAAAAGGGACATTGATTTAATTGATTTTCTTAATTGATTTGATATGTTATTCATCACCTCTCAAGCATGTCAAGTAGGTAATCACAGCAATGTATCACTTGCCTCCAACTGCCCAAAGTTACATAACTCTACTACGCAGATTCCCTGGGAACAAAGTAATGGTGTTAAAAAACTGTATTATTAATTTCTTTTTTATCACTGTCCCCCTCCCCCCACTCTTTTAACTCTTATGTTAATATGGTGAATTTCATAATGTAATGTGGATTTACAAGGCAAACTTCTACATAGTCTGCCCATTATTATTTTTCTACCTGAGTCATTGCCTTTCTGCTCTTGTTTATGGTTTTCAATTTCTTGTTTGCAGGTGAAATTCATTGTATTCATTAACTTCACAATTTGCATTACATAAAACTTCAAGAGTGTTTCTGATACTCTACAGCATCAATGAATTTATTGGACAATTTCGGGATTCTGAGAACACCAATGAATGGCGTAATTTATCCCTTGTTTGTGGTGCTGTGCATCATAGCAGCTGTGCTTCAGCAAAAAACCTCTCGAACAAACCTTGAACTTGCAGCCAGAAGCAACCCAGACTTTGTGAACTTTCAGAGGAGATTTTTTGTTGTTTATTTTGCTGCTCTGTTTTCTGACTGGCTACAAGGACCCTACGTTTATCGGTTGTATGCCACATACGGATTTGAGAGTGGAACAATAGCAATTCTCTACATCATCGGATTTGCAGCAAGTGCATTATTTGGAACTTTCACTGGTCCATTGGCTGATCGCTTTGGACGAAAACGACTCTGCTTACTCTTCTGTCTCCTCTATTCAATATGTTGCCTGACAAAGTTGAGTGCCAACTTCTACATGCTGGCATTTGGACGGATATTGGGGGGGATCTCCACCTCTATCTTGTTTTCATCATTCGAATCTTGGTACATTTATGAGCATGTACAACATTATGATTTCCCTCAAGAATGGATCATGGGAACATTTTCAAAGACAACATTCTGGAATGGATTTTTGGCTATCATGGCTGGGATTGCAGCCAATGCCACAGCTGAGTGGATGAATTTTGGACCAGTGGGCCCTTTTTTGCTGGCAATCCCCATCCTGGCCCTTTGTGCTGTTCTTATCCTCAAGAATTGGGATGAGAATCAAGGTAATGAGAAAGGAGAATTTTCCAGGCAGTGCATGGGTGGTCTGAACAGAATCCTGCAAGAAGAAAAAATCCTGCTCCTTGGCTTTGTCCAGAGCATTTTTGAGTCTGTTATGTACATCTTTGTGTTTCTCTGGACTCCCACACTTGATGTGTACTCAACACTACTCCCATTGGGCATTATATTCTCCTGCTTCATGGTATGTATAATGATAGGATCCAGCCTCTATGAACTGATTGTATCAACAGGGAAATACACAAGTGAACATACCTTAACTTGGTGCCTTATCATGAGTGGTGTCTCCATGTTCATCAGCTTCATCTTTGCAAAGGAAACAGAAGAAAACACCATGCTCTTCATTATACCCCTTGTAGGATTCCTCATTCTGGAGGTTGCTGTTGGAATGTATTACCCAGGAATTGGGTTCCTGCGGAGCCAAGAAGTGCCTGAAGCATATAGGGCTGCCATCATGAACTGGTTCCGTGTTCCCTTAAATGTCATTACTTGTGGAGGGCTCCTTTGGCTACAAGGAGATAAGTCCCACAAAATTAGATCTGTATATTTTGCCTGTGTGGTCTTGTGTCTTATTGGCTTGCTTGCAAAGCAAAAATTCTCAGCCCTTCGCAGACAGGCTGGAATTATTGCATCTTCACCATCCAAGCAGAATATTCTACCAACCGATGACTGAATTTTGTTTCATTTGCAGAACTAAAGCTCATGAAAATGTAGGCCTACAGAAGTTTTTACGTGCCAATGTATATTACCTATTTTTGTGATTTGACTGCAATGAATCATTTGTGGGCTGATCTTGATTGCCTTCACAAGTTTTGATACTTTTGACTTTAATTTTTTATTTAATGTGAGGTATAATTATCTAATGATGAATTTGCATGTCAAAGGCTCAGGGAATTAATTTTATCAGCAAGTTTTTGAGATTTTGGAATACCTCCTTTCAGAGTAAGTCTTCTGGAAGAAACACTTCCCTGGATGCACTAGATAAGCCTTCATTCAGGTTCATGTGCTGGTATGAGGGGTACCAGAACCAGAATTTGTGAATTATACCATGCAAGACGAGTGAGACATTAAAATAATGAATTCCTCTCTATTGTTGGGAGTACTAGCCCCTTCTGTGTTTGGAATACTCACATTCCAGTTCTCCAGTTTTTAAAAAGAAAAATATATTTAAGTTCTTGCAGTGTGTACAAAAACGTTATCTGATCTGATGGTGATAATGTCCAATGACAGATGCTAGATCTCATACAAAATGACTAGGTGATACCATTCCTGGCATGGCACCAAGTGACTAATGTAGAAGCTAGTATGCATGCATTGCTAGACATCAGTAGGCCTTGACATTTTCAGGAAATTAATTATGATAATGCACTTGAATCCTGTGACACCATTGTTGATTTGTGACACTGATTTCTATCTATGAACACATTTTGATTTCAAATAATAAAGAGATATTGGGGATTAGAGGCATTTGCAGTCATTTTACTTAGCAAAACCAAGGCAAAGAGGATGACTACCTGGATATGTTTCATGCAGCATTTCCTTTCTTTATTATCTTTTAACAGCAAAGCCAAGCTCAAAGAGAACATGTGTACAAAAATATTCAAGAGGCATTTCTGCTTCAGTAATGTAATGGTGGTTGCATGTGCCACGGATAGAGATTTTTCTCTAAAAAACTCATGCATAGTGGCCTCCTTGAGTCATAAAAAATATGTCCAAATTTCAGCACTCCAATTCAAATACAGGGAGACCACAAATTTCATGACTAGGCACCTCTGTAATGTAATAAAAAATTTTTAATCAGTACCTTGGGGAGGTATATCAGATAGACTAGTTTGTTACATTTGAGTGCCTCCAAGATCAGTGAAGAACCCAAATGTGCATGCCTTCATTTTCGATGTAGATCTGAAGTTGCCCCTTACCAGTTTTGATGGTTTTAGGGATGATATGTATCGGAACATGCCTGGCGGTGTTCTTAGGATGATGCATACCTTCTTTATTCCAGCTCTTAACACGTTGACTGCCACAGCAATGCTGGCCTATTGATTTTCCCATTCAGTGAGGCGCATTGGTGTGCCTCATGGCAGTCAACCTGTTAAAGATCGTGAAGTGCTCCTCGTTTTAAGACCGGTTCCAAAAGTATAGTGAACCTCATCATCATGGATTGATATTGTGCATATGGTTGAATGAAATGCTTCCTGGGAGGATTGGACATTGCATCTCAATCACTTGGCCATCCAGATCATTGAACTTTAATAATCATTATCTGGGTAAGGGAGCCCATGAGCCTTTTTTGTTATTTTGTTTTTGAGTTAACTATGTCAACATCAATTTTGCATTACTTTTCAAATTCACTGGAACCAATAAAGAAGAGACTTCATTTTGAAAATTTCAAGCATACCAAATAACATCTGGAAAAAACTTTAAATTTGATAGAATAATAGTTTTATACTACTTTTTAATGCAGCAGTCAAATTGACTGCTCCAGTAGTTCCTAGTGTTAAAAGTGAAGAGAGATCTGTGTTTGAGATTAAGGCACCCACATTGAAGTCTTCACTGATCCTAGAGTCACTCACAGCAAAATAGTGGTCCATCTGATAGACCTGCCCATTCAGCTCCAAAAAATGTGTTGAAATAATAGAGGTGCAAAATCCATTAGTAAATTGTGACATGTAGATCTCAAGATATGGTATCCCACAGTTAGCCTCCTGAGGAAAAATTAACCTCATATTGTGAGTCAAACTGCTACCTTTGGCATTAATTGAGCTAGAAAAGTGTTCTTTGGGCTCAAATTAAAGCTGAGACATAGACACATCAGGCTTTTCTGCATATTTGTTAGATAACTATAGTAAATGTTCAAAAATGTGGGAAAATATCAAAATTTACTGAAAATGAATGGTTACATTGTAGCACTATTTTCTTTCAGAACATTGCAATAACAACCAATAGCAATGAAAAGAACAGCATTTGAATGTATAACTTTATTTGAAACAGCTGCAAATTGAGTTTGAAAAGTCCATAATTGCCAGTTTTAACTCAGATAGTTTATATTTCCTGTTTCAAACCAAGATACAAAATTGAAACTAGTGTCAAATGAGCACTTTCTATTTATGCACAAGTTGCTATGGTTTACTTATTATTTTATGTATTATTTAATTATACATGGATTGTCACTAGAAATTCAATATTGGTAATTTTGGTGAAATATTCTGAATGAGGAAATGGCAAGTTCACAAGTGTAACAAAAACACCCTAGCAAAACGAAATAATTGCATATATATATCATCAATTGAAAGAGCATAGGGAGAGCACTTGCATTTGAAATGGAGAATAATACCTGTCAAAGTGAGTGAAAACTGACAAAGACTGGACTTTCTGGGTCCAACTTTCCAATGTTTCAAAAGTAACAACTTGTAACGTAGCTTTGCGCATAGCAATTGGCTAGTGTTGCCATGTTCCAAAGGCTTATTATTATGTTACAGTATTTTCCACAGTTCAAACTTTTTAAAGTAAATGTTGTTTTGTTTTTTTTTTGCTTAACATTTTTTAATTTTAACTATTTATTTGGAAGTAAAGATGTAGGAATACCCATTAAATAAATCAGATTCAGCTTTGAATCAGATTTAATTTAAGCCCAAACACTTCCTCAAAATCTGGATGAAGGTTAAGTGCTGGACCCGAGGTTACTTTTCCCTTCAGATATTTCGGGGTAGCATATCTCAAAAACTGTTTCAGACCAGAGTGCTGAAGTTTGGAATTTTTCCATAACTCAGGGAGGCCACCATGTAGGAATTTTCTAAAACAAATCACTGCTAGTAGAGCATGCAGCTACTATCAGATCACTTACGCTCTCAAATGCTTCTCAATCCTTTTCCAAGAATCATATGAAAAATTGAATGAAAGGATAACAGAAAGAATATTGGAATGAAAGGATAATAACAAGAATAATAGCAGGAATAATGAAATGAAAGGTCAAAGCTCAGTTTTTCTGCTGATTGAAATAGGCCCTGCAAGTTGATCCCGGATCAACAAAACTACATTTTTGGCACCAATCAAACTCATTTCCATGGCACTTGCTACAGACTCAATTGCATTCACATAATACAATCCTGGTCTCAGCTCAAATTCTCCTAGATGCTGTTCAACATTGTAATGTGGGTAGGCAAGCCAGTCATATGTCTGCAGCTCACTGATGTCTGTGAAGTAGTGCTTCACTTGTTCAAATGGTTTACTGGAAAACACCTTCCACACTTGTTGTTCAGATGGTTGAGACTTGCTCTCAACTGGAAAGTTCTGTCCAAGGCACTGGAAGACCTGATTTCCATGAGCTGTAGTCAATACTTCTCCAATGGGATCTCCATCATTTCCAATTGCAGATTGATTCAGTCTTCCCTGGAGCATGGTGGTCACCAATCGTTGAAAATGGCCAGGGAATGCTGGGATATCCATTCCTTTGAAAGTTATATTTGCCTTGTCTTTTGTCAATGGTGTTGCTATGATGACCAAGTCATAGATCACAACATTTGCATTTCCATCACATTGCTTCCATTTTGCAATGCCACTCCCCTCATGTTGGAGGGAGAAGTCTTGGCAAGAAGAACTGGAGACCTTGTAAGTACCATCTGGAAGAGCCTCGATGCTTGTGACTTGGTTCCTGATGAGATGGGCTTTAGAGTTTTGCAGAAGTTTTTCAGGAACTTGTTTATTACCCCCATTGACTGCCCATAAGTTTGGAGTTGCCCCAGCAATGCTCACCATACCTGAGTTTGCATAAATATTGGATGCACAATGACTATGGATGCACAATGACTAACAGGGAGGAGAGTGTGGAATGTGCCTGACTTTACATACCCACAAAAGCATGTATATCATCAGGATCTTGTGCATAGTTGCAATGTGCAGCAGCTGCTGCCAACTCCTCACGAATCTTTTCTGAAAGACCCTGTTTCTCGAGGAAGGATGACAGAGATTCCCTGGTGGCACTGAAGAGGCTCATGGACATGGTCTTCAGCATTGTTGACACACTTTTGAAAGCTGTCCCTGCACCTTGAAGTGTATAGATCCTGGAAGAACACATCAGTCTTAAGCTTTTCTGGATTTTTACCATATACTTGGGACAAAGAGTTTGATGAGAAGCTCGCCTGTCAAAATGCTGGAGCAGTTCATCTGTAAGGGATTGGAGTCTAAATAGGGACATCCCATATCTCAAAACCATCTCTACAATTGAGAAATAGTACCATTTGGACTCAGAAAAGATCATGTTCTTTCCATCATACAATCCAAACTTGATCTGTCCTCCTGTGTTGTTCCTTTCCTGTAATCCTGAAAAATAAAAATAAAAACATGCAAGTTACTTTGTTGGAAATTTTCCATATAGTCAAGTGCATTTCCTTCAGGTTCTCACCAAGTTCACTGACAAGCTGCTTCATGTATCTGTTTTTTTGATGAATGATGGAGCCTCCAATCTCATACTGTTTTTGGTCAATGAATGTGGTGGCTAGTCTACCTCCTATCTTCCCTGGTTCATACAGTTCCAGTTGGGAGATATCTAGACCAAGTTGGCTCAGGAAGTATGCAGCACCTGTGCCACCAATGCCACCACCAACGATTGCTAAGATGGCAAACCCACAGTCAATATAATAACAAGGAAATATGAAAAAGTCAGAGATGGAGAAATGCAGGATGTCCATAAAGTTGGGCTTCAGACTATATCTTAGTTATGATGGCAATAACTTGAGTCAAGCACCATCCCACAATGCCATCATTAGCTCTGCATTCTGAATTGAAATTCACTTTACCATTCATCCTTTAGCATTTAACTAGAGAAGAATTTTCTGAAGTTTGAGAATTGTTGGAAACTATCAATTTAATTTGAGCTTTGAATAGAACTCTATTATGAATTATTTAAAACAAACAGAACAAGTACAGAAAATCCAAACAGAAATGTTAATATTCAGTGTGCAATATAGCAATTCCAGACATCAAGGATGAACAATTAGGTCAATTCTCACATTTACCACCTGATACATTGCTGATTTTTTACATGACTTTCAAAAATGTCATGTAAAAACTAAAAATTGAATGGCAATTGCATGTAGTACTTACATTCAAAATTCAGTTTGTATGTCAAAGTCAACATTACTGTGAGATCCATTCCAGTAGGCAGAAATGTATACACATGTTGCATCACATGCACTTTAAAGTAGTCTAAGCAAGGCACTATTACAGATGCAATAGGTTTACTCACCAATCCTTGCTCCCTTGGAACTCGGTTTCAAGGATGTAGAGAAAGGTATGAAGAATATAATTGATAGCAGGATCTTTGCTGATTGCATCTTTCAAGGGAAGAGAAACTCTAGGTCATAAATACAGGCCCATACAAAGTAAAAATTCCAGTTCAGAGCTTGTTTTGTAATGAACCTATTAACTTTGTCTTAATTTCTATGGCTTTGAAAAAAAAAACCTTACACCTCTCCTTCACTTTAAAATGCTTTGTCCACATGGGAAGATGACCAAAAGCACTAAAGTTATGTAAATTGTGATTTGCATGAAGCAACAAAGTGCACCTTATCAAACCAAGGTTGGCCACAGCACCGAGACAATAAGCACATATAGATGCCAATTTGGTGCATCTAGAAAACTTGAGTTGTGGATTCATCACTTGGTTGCCAATGTATCCTGCCTTCCCTAGTGGAGGAGCAACTTCTGGTGGACTAACAGTAGAATTTAAGGCTTCATAGGACATGCACAATCTCCAAATCTCTCTTGGTCTCCTGGCATGGTTGAAAGAAGGCAATGCTTTGGATGATGCCAACAGCCATAAGGTTATGACCCTCTTGTCCAACCTACTGAAGATGTCTAATTGATTTGCCATTGACAGTCCTGCCAAAAAAAACAAACAAATTTGGATTCATAGTCATTTTCCAGCCATTTCCTGTTAGCCACTGGAGGAAGGCCCTGCTTGTATACATAATTTCATCCTTCCTGGGCTCCTCTAATCCATATCTTCCCATCTTGTCCTTGGTGTTCTTGGATGTATTCCCCCTGTTGATTGCAAGTGGTGGTTAATTTAGCTACTTGGCCTTCCACATTGAAACTATGAACAACCAAGGTCCCCAGCAAATAAATGGACCATTGACATTCAATCAGCTTTCTATGAACATCAAATTTGAACCTTCCTAGCATTGTGGTGGTGTTGCATCTAACATTAAGTCAATACTTTTATGTTGCTTAACTCAGATTAGTGTCGAAGTTCAACACTGGCTAAATGTTTGTCCAGCAGCGCAACAACATTCTACCCAAGTGCTACATGAATGCTACTTTAGAACCTTCCCAGCACCTAATTGGTATCACATCTGAACATTGGGCCAACATTGTAATGTTGCTTTTTGGAACACTCAGGTGAAGATTGGTTGAACATTCCAGCAAGCACAGACACATTCCATATCAGAGCTTCTTCTGAACAGTGATTCAACATTTCAGCAATTGACACAGTTCACTTGTAGTACATGCTGGTCAGTAGAGGCCATTTGGCAGTTTTCATCTGAGTGACACCTGAGTGTCAAGACAACTATTGACTCACCCAGAAAGGAAGATAGTGCCACATTTGGAATGTAAGAGCTCTTGTGATATTGAAGTGGAGAGGGCAAAAGGCCAAGTGTGTCTGTGCCAGAACACCACAGCACCAGAACATAACATAAGACCAGGTGTGAGATAATGTTATATTTTTAAAACAAAGTTACACAACTCTACAGGTAGCAACTATGGAGCTGACAGGAATCTGCCAGATACATTCCCTAATGCTTGCAGGTATGCACTGACTACAAACAGCAAAAACCATTTTTTTTTTCATTCTACCTCATTCTTCTCTTGCTGTATTTCACAAAAGGTAGAATAAAGTAAGAGAGTATGGAAAAAACTAATCCACACCAGGTATTACACAGGATGATCATGTTGGATAACGATGGAAAGTTCTCATTCACTCACTAAATCAGTCATCTTTTCATGTACTGAAGCATATTGCACACTGAATATTGGAGTTGCGCTTGTAGCTTCTCATGCTGAACCAGTTCTCTTATTCTACTAGCTTTGCAGGAACCAATAAGTGATCCCCAAAGAAAAGGGGCCCCCCCCCCCCCCCCCCCCCCCAAGAATGGCCAAAGTACAACAAAAGTATAACACATGGAACATGGGAAACAAAATGCTGTTTCATGAAATAAATTTAAAATATGATTTTCCTATCTGTTTAGAGCTCCAACTGGGAGATCCCCATCACCAAGTAAGGGTAAATCCTCCAGTATTATTATGGTGGCTGTGTGATGAGGAGGGGGGCTCCTCATCACACAGCCACCATAATAATACTGAGCCACCCCTCTGGATCCTGAAATGATTCTGTTCATGCTATTTCAGGGGCATTAAGACCTTGTCCCTGTCCCCCCCCCAAAAAAAAAAAAAAAAAATTTTTAGAAGCCAGCACCTATGTACTGAAGAATATGCCAAAGTCCTTCAGCATGGATCAAATCCAATACATGAGAGTGGATAGGAGGGAACTGCTCTGAACAGAGAAGAGCTAAAAATGTTCAGCTATATTCACCTATAATCCATTGTTATGTTCACTCTTGGCTTAATGAAAATCACAATGATCACCAGCTAATGCATGATTTTCAACTGTCTGCCATCAACAAGAATGCCAATGGAAAAATTGGTTATTTGTAATGATTCAAGCAAAACTAAAAGGGCATGTTTCCAATAAATAAATACTATAGTTTTCTACACGATATTGTTTGTTTTACTTCAGATCAACCTCTGTAAGATACATAACCTTGACAGTTCATTGATGGTCTCAAATCATTCTTCCTTCTTGCCTGTGGTGGCTTTCAGCTCTCCAAAGATGATGTCCAAAGATAGAGGAATGAAGTGGCAGCAAGCCAAAATGGGCTTCTAATTATAGCCAAGACACTGTGGAAAAAGCTGCTTCAAGATGACAAAACCATGCACTCTCCATGCTGTATCCATTTTTAACCCTTATCTAGACGAGGTGAGTCTGCTGAACTCTGAACCAAATTTTTTTCTGTTGCGATTTTGCATTTAGAAAGGTATTTGTACATTGAATTTTATACTGTCTTTCTTATGACCTGCTTGAAGACCAAACCCATGGTGAAAATGGTAAGAAACATGTGGAGCTCATGTACATTCATGTTATAAAAAATACCCTGTCCTGATAAGGGTTAATTAAGAGTTCTCAGACTTTGTGGTTATTGATGTTCCAGCCCAAAATTTACACATGATATTGCCATTTTTTTTAAATCATTGGCAGGAGAGTTCATCAAATCCCCTTTTGAGCCTATGTAAAAAAGAAACACTCCTGGGTCCTTCACAGCTTACAGGAGTGCAAAGATGAGATCTCTGGAAGTAATTTCAACATATTGTTAGGGTACATGATCCATGGAGGGTAAATGAGATGCTTACCAAGCATCAGCTTGATACATGAAGCTGATACATGCATCCCAATTAGCCTACATCAATGAAACAGTAACTACTCCTTGAAATTGTGTCCAGAAAGCTCATCTTGGCCCTACTTCATAAACTCTCAACTATGGCCCTCTAGTGAAGCAGCTTGAGGGAAGGAGACAAGACTGGTACCTTCAATGACTCTTCCCCAATTCCTCAGGCATTCAGCAATTTTCTCTGCATTGCTCATCTCACTTGTAATTTTCCTGCCCCATTTCATCAGTGAAAACAGCAGGAAACTTTTTTGAGCAATCAGGACTCAACCAGAGGTGACAAATCAGAACTGAGTTTACCTCAGTTTGAGTACAATGAGTGTTTTAAGAAGCAGCTGATGAGTATGCAGCAGTGTTTGGATGATAAGGGAAAGTACATTTGACATGCCATGAAATCATGAAGTTCGTGGCTTTTGTATATTGGAAAATATAAAACCTCCACCAAAACTATATCCAATCACTCTTTGTATTTTATCTCACTTGACCAAGCTGCTGCTCATCCCTTCCCATTAAGTAGTAGTCTACATGCATCCAACTTTTCATTGAATTGCCTCCATTGGCTTAGGAAACTCCCCTCTGATTAACATGAAATGCTTGTGTCAGGGCTTCACTCTGACAGTTGTGTCTTCACAACCCAGCCTCACTTCACTCGATATCATACCCCAAAAGATTTTGGAAAGCCATAGTTATACCAGGTTTTTCACTTTACTTTTCCAATGCTTGAGGGACATGAAATATTTCATTTGGCTAAAACAAAGGACCCACAGATTTGACAAATAGACTTTTATCTCTCATATGATAGTGAACAAGGAAGATGTCAAATGCCAGTCCAAACAATACAGTTCAGTCACTCTCCCACAAAAGTTCTTTGTTTCTTAGATGAATATATACTATGTCTGAAAAAGATTTCATGTATTATCATGAACCCATAAGGAACTTCTTCAGGGATCCTTGCTTCACTAAAATTTTGCCAAAAATCCTCTTGAAAACTGAGTCTTTTCAGAATGAAGATTGGAACAATGACGTCTATGTGAAGCTCTCAACATATTCACCCACATGTTGAAGAAGAGCAAATCAAAACTTCTGACAAAGACATTTGTGCCAGTCTCACACGCATCGACACCAATCCAACTTCTCTACAATTAAAAATGAGAAAATGAACATGAGTGCAAATAAAACCAGAACATGGAGACAAAAAATAAGAAAGCTCTTGGTCCACTATACAGTAAAAATAATGAGAAACATAACTTTGTACCAACTTTTTTTTCTTTTCAACATTGTGTCTTTGTCATGAGACATGAGTCTGTTCTGCCTCCTCAGACTATTCAAATGACCAACATCTTTGATCTTGTCGAGCAACTTGAACATGAACTCTAGCACCGTCCCATGACTACTCTGTCACTCAACTGAATAACTTACTAATGTGAAACTGCAAAAATACAGTTAAAATTACAGAACTGGGTAGAGGGAATGAATGGCACACGGGCATAATTCTTCAATTAACAGACTAGAGAATGACTGCCCAATATGCAACTGGTGATTCTGATAGTATGAATGCAAATATTCCAAATAGAATGTCTACTCGAAGGTGCCATAACCCCAAACGTGTCCAAGACTTCCTGTATTCAGTACCAATACTTTTATTTCAGTTTACACAAAACCTGCCATTACTCTCATTTACTGCTCTACAATTTCCATAATTTCTCACAACCTGACAAATGCACATTTTGTTCGGACTTCTGTCATGGCTAATAGTTTCTGCATGTAGAAAATAAGTTATCTCCTTAAATCATCCAATATGTATAGGCAGCCATAGTTGCATTCATTCCTCAAGTCCCAAGTAGTCAATACTCATAAAAAAGTGGAAAAATCTCTCCATGATTCAGAAAAAAAATGGAGAAATACACCATTAGATTTGGATTTGTGTGCCAGGATAGATCCAAGCAAGAAGGAACATGGGATTGCAAAAGCGATGACAGCTGCCTGCGTGGAACTTTACTCCAGTCCCAAATACACTCACAAAACATATGCCTCCAGGTCACTGAGCAAGAGTCTGGGCTTTAAGGCTCTTTTGGTCCAGAGAATTCACAAGGGACGGAACAGGGACTGGAATAGTGTCTGCACTGGATGTGGCAATCTGCATGGCCACTGAGCCAGATGATGGTTCTTTCTCGTCTGTGGCAGTTGCTGCCAATTGCACAAGGCTCTGGAGACTGTCTTGGTCAAGATGCTGGGCCAGGTCTTCATCCAGATGGTTGGGATCAGAAGTAGACATAGGAGGGAGGTCAATGGGCACAAATTCAGTGCGACTATGACGCTTTGGATCACCCGAGATCAGGGAATGGATGCTAGGACTTGAGCTGCGGTCTCTTTCTCTGCTTGTGTTCCCAGCTGATCCTGATCCTGATCCAGCTGATGGGGCCACCACTGGCACTGGACTGTCCCGCTCATCCAGAAACCTATCCATGTGGTCTCTGCAGGCCAAACAATCCCAAGCAGAGATGAATATCAAAATTGAATAAGACATCTGCCTGATACATTATGAGAAATTTAATGCACTGCAACTTACGTTGTGTTTGGATTGAGAAAGTACTTCTTTTTTTCGAGTCTTGTCCTATTGGCAAACATATCATGTCTCTCTGTTTTCTTCCAAAGGTAGTAGAAGTTGATCAGCTCTCCAACGCTTCTCGTTCGAACCTGGATGAAAAAAATGTGAAGACTGCATCAGGAAATGACAGTCGAAATTATCATCATGAGAACAATAACTTGTGCAGTTAAAAAACTTTGCAGTTTTCATAACTTCTATAGTTGATAGTTTCATGGGTAATGTGGATTCTGAATTCAGGCTGAAATCTCCCATATCAGGGACTTAGGATCTGATTGGGAAATGTATTCAAGTGAATAACTTTTGCTTGTTTTTAACTAACCAAGAGAAGATTGCTATTTTCTTTGCTATCTCATTCAAAGAAGCAAGGTCCTTAACTTAGGAATAGTGCAGATCTCTGACTGCCATTGGGAACAAAAATACTGGCAAACATAGTTTTAATACATTTGTTGTCCTGACAGTAACATCACATATCAACAATTTTTTTTAGAGCTTAAGCTCAGTCACCTATTTTCAATCCAACTCCACAAGGAACATTGTAATTGCTTTACCTTGTACTGCTGAATGAGGTGAAAGTTCTTGCCAAATATTCTGAGCCCACACTCAAAACTCCTGCATTCTTCCTCTGACCATAAGCTCATTGTACTTGCTAAAGGATAAGGATTCATTCTCCATCTTCTCAGGGCCTCTTCTCTGTTGTGACCACACTTAAGTAGTTGGTTTAGAGCCTATGGAATGAAATGCCACTATTAGGCTCTACCAGCAACATCCAACTTCTTGAGATTCTCTGACACCTCCATGAAAAAATTAACGCTAGAGAATGGGCAATACATACTCGTTCATCATCAATGACATGAGAAGAGGAAGCAATGACAGAGGCTGCATTGGCAAGAGAGATGTTTGGTGATGGGGCTGCAACTTGTCTCAGGTACTCCTCAACATCTTTTTCATCCAGTTGACAAGGATCCCACATAAGTGTATCCTCATTTTCATATGGCAATGCATCTCCATATGAGCTCAGTCCACTTGGAACATCTGCTTGATGCTCTGGGCCCACCATTATCATCTACAAGGCAATGAGGGATGCAAGTGTTAGCATCTCACTTTAATTTTTTTAAAGATGTATTACATACCAATAGGATGATATACTTGAAGACTACATGGGAGGAAGAACATACAGTTCCATATCTCTAAAGCCCCTTATCTAAATTGATTGTACAAAAGAATGCTCACTGAAGTGCCAGCTCATGCATGAGAGATATTTTGCAACAGCTACCTTCATATTTCTCAGCTATAAATTCAAATTTGTATGAAATGCTGCCTGGGCATGAGGAATATGGGTGCAGCCATGCTTGCATCAGTTAGTTCATCAGTGAGGACACAATTTTCAAACTTCTCATTTTTGGGATGCTAACAGATAATGGGTTAGTTAAGTTAATGCATGCAATATATAAATTAGTGCAAACTCATTTCAAAAGTTTGTCCTGATGTAAAGAAACAAATTCTGATTTGTGGAAAACCTGGAATAAAATCAGTAAGATTAAGGTATTCAATTATGAAATTCCATGATTAATGACTCCATAATGATAACTTATTGAAGAAAATAAAATTTTGGGTTAACTGGAAGTGTAACCAAGAATTTTTAATAAAACAACTACATGTCTAACTTCCACTCACCTATGAGTGAAACCTCAAACTGTGGTGATGGAACAACCTACAGTGTTTGGGGATTTTAGAAAAAAAATGTCAATATTGCTTGCCCCACATAGTTCATTCTTTTCCTAAAGGCAGCAACTAAATTCCTGCCTTGATGCTGCTGGCATGGTATTGCCAAGAGAGTCTGCCAGTTACTCATTTATTTTAACCCCCAACCTTTCCTAGCATTCAATTTTTTATGTAGATACCATATTCTATCACTATAGGGCATTAATTGTCACTTTACATACAGCTCTTTTAGAACAAATATTTGCTTCCAAGATGCAACCTCAACAACCTAGAAAATTCAGGGCATACAGACCTCAGAATCTTCATCTACAACAGCCAATTAGGCTCCAGTTACCTATATCAGAGGTACTTTCACCTCTGGTAATACAAGCAGCAATTCATCCCCAGCAACTACAGATCTTATTGAGATAGGCATTTTAAACAACCTCAACAGGTGGCTCACCCCCTTCAACACAGTGCCTGAGCACATCAATCATGCATAGCAGGTTTTCCTAACTATCAACAACAAACATAGATTCAGCATCCAAGCAAGATTTCATAGATGAAATGGATAATCTTATTTATACAGGGTGACCCAAAAAAAGGACACACTTTTCAATGTGTATTTTTGGTGAGGTTTTCAAAGATTTTTTTTTTCAGTTTCATGTAATGGAAAGAACTTGCTACAAAATGCATTTTTCAGATTTGAAATATCTTACATGGTGACTTTAAGAAAAATGATTGAATTTCAGTTGTGAAAATTCTGCATTGTGCTCAGCAACTTGACCCAACATCCCCTTGACAGCCCAGCAGATGTCACAAGGATGATTGGATGTGCCAGCTGCCACATGCAGTCTATGAGCACAATGCTGATTTTTCACAACCAAAATTCAACCATTTTTTTTTTATAAGCCTCCATTCAAGATATTTCAAGCCTGAAAGAAGCATTCTGTAGCTGTCTTTCTTCTTTCCATTACATGAAACTGGAAAAAAATTCCTTGAAAACATCACACCTAAAATGTGCCCATTTTTTTGGGCCACCCTGTATCACCAGACAAGCACACTCAACAGGAGACCTAACCCCATTCTGCAGCAACAGGCATGTGCCACCAAGAGAAATGCTGACCATATCCCTATCTACTAGCATGAGATTCTACTGCCTGTGAAGTAGAATTAACAAAATTATGCTTGTGGGCAAGGTAACTTTGGCCTTTACTAGGTCACCAGGTGTACTACTAATGCACAGACTTTGCTTACTCCAAATTAATATTATAAAGATTAGCAAAATTACATACTTTCTTCCATTCTTCATCATCAGGTATATATCCCAAGTCTGCCTCCTCATCCTCGTCACTCTGCTGTCTGGATACAGCTGTAGAGAAGATTTTAATTAAACTCAATCTAATGCAACAATGTCAATTTAGTTTTACTCCTGCTGAGAAAAGAGAGGTGTTGTGAAAAAAAGGCTTTCATTTAAAAGTAGAAAAATTTAGAAATTGGAATCTAAAAGGAATGAATAATAGAAATGCCACAAAGAAATCCATGCACACTCACATCGCAGTAATCTACTGGGGCAGGTTTTCCCAGAATCCTCATGTGCAGGTTCATCTTCCACCAACTGCCTAAGAGCACTGCCAACAGGTTCTTCTTCATCAGTCTCCTCATCTTCATCCCTTTCTTGAGTTGTTCTGGACTCGTCATCAAGGCTCTGGCTTGATGAATCTTTCCCCCTTTCCCCAGCCAATGGGTGGAGACTTTCCCTGAGAAGATCACGTGCTATTTCATCTTTGTCAAGGGTAAGATCTTGATTACTCAGGATTTCTTCTGATGAGGAAGACCTAGTTGCTTCATCTCCCTCCTTATAACCATACAGCACCAGTAAGTCATCTAATGGCATGTCTTGTTCCTGAAATATGTCAAAAGTATACACTGGAAGATGATGCAGAATACTATATCACCTAAATACATGCACCTCAACATGAGGTAAATAAATATAAAATATACAATATTTACTGACCTTCTGCAAACTGGCGAGTTCTGACTGACTGTCTTCATCACCATCAAGGGCTTCTTCTTCTTCAAGTGTCCTCTCATCATCATAATCATGAACCATCATGTCAGCTGTTGGCTCAAATTCTGATCCTCTGGAGTTGGAGTCCCCTATACAAAAGGACTAGTGTAAAACTAATTCTGGAGGAGAAACGAGCAGGTGAAAATGAAAAATGACAGGAAAGGCAAAAGTAAAAGCTCCAAACTCTCATCTCCTTGAATCCCTATGTAGGATTTTTATAATATTGTGAAACCAGAATGAATCATGGATGAAAAGGGGATGGGCTTATGAAGTTCATGCCCTGCAGGACAGCATGCTTTAATTTTATTCTGAATTTTAAAAAGTGGGTGCAAATACAAGCCAACACACTTTTATAATAATAAAAATTTGTAGGAAAGGTCCCATATATATTAGAAGTACTAAGATATATTCCATAAAGAATCAGTGGAAGGTAATAAAGAATTGAATGTGGTAAAAAAAAATTAGCATTTGTTTCCCCACTGACAATAAAAATCATCAATGGTGTAAATAGAAGAGTAAGAAAAGAGGCAAGACATAGGCAAATGAAGAAGCCCAACTCTAGGAGTAAAATTATCACCCAGATGGCAAAAACACCATACACTTACCCGGACTCAGATCAGCAGGATTTGGCTCCTGAAAAATAATAAAACAAACAAATGAGAAGTTGCTCTAGGCAAATTATATAATAGGCCTCACATCAGTACAGTATCACTGACTATGCTAAAACATAAATAGCATTTGATTTTAGAGTTACTACTATCACATCCCCTTGTTTCACTCTTGAGCAAATTAAATACAGACAGCCTTAAGCTGTTCAAAATATGGTGATATATTGATGATAAGGACATGGCTACTTTTACTGATGCAGGAGGGCCCCTAAGAAAGTTCAGAAGCCTCTTTGACTAGCCTGCAAGAAATTCAGATTGACTTCTTCCCTTTCTGGTTAGGTCTGTGGTCTTTTTGAATAGAATGAATGCATTTAGTGCTTTTTAGTGAATGTGAATCTAACAAATGAAGTCATCCTCTTTGTCCTTTTTTCATTCACCTGCAACTTATGGATGATAAAGACTCTCAAAGACAGCAAGTTGTTCATTTGGAATACCATATAAGTTACCCATTGGCAATGTCACCAATAAGCACAAGGATTACAGAGGAAAAAATCCAAGTCACCAGACACAAGGTTTCAATGGTCTAAAGGCAACTCTCAACCTACAGATGTTTCTGATAAACAGGCTACTGGTACAGGTCCTCCATTCTTGCTAAGCCTAAGCCTATCATTAATGAATTTTGATAACTGAAAACGTAATGTAAGTACGCGAAAGTCGACCCGTGCACGAATTTGGACGGAATTCCGGTTCACTTCACGGACCTCGCCATTATAATGACATACTGCCCTCTGTGTCTTCGTCTTCAAATCCATGTTTTAAGCGAAGCTTAAAATGTGTCTCACAGAGAATGCATCGTTGTTAATCCTTATAGTCAACCGGAAACGAGCTCCTTAAATTACATCATTCTTACTTTAAGTGAGGCACGCTGAGATCATGGTTACAAATGTCCCTGGTATATATTATGTTGTGGTACTTACTGGTGGCTTTAAGCGTTGATGGTCGTAAATATAGTGTCCTAAGGTAACTGAAGAGTATGCTGTAAGAAATGGTTACATCATTATGTTCTTGGAATTCGATATTTTAGAGCGTCGGTTTTCTGGACCGAATCGCAGTGAGGGTCTCTGAAAGTCGATTCCTAGTCGTAGGCATAGGCAAGTGAAGCACACGCCTAAGGTCGGGAATTCTGCATTCATATGTACAACGCCACTTCTCTGGTTGTGCTAACCGTACATGTATCTTTCCATGGTCAGCCTAAGATCTATATCAAAGGCCATGGATATTCTAATCAAGTTTGACTGTCAAGCAATACCCAGCTAGTCCCCTCTTTGAACCTCCCTCCTGGAGGTACCTCTCAGGCAATTATGCTGGGAATATGCAGTCTGTCCAAAATCGGTCGTTCCTGGCTCTGCAAACCAACACGGCGAGCGGCATGCGCATATAGAGGCTTGCTAAGACCTTCATGCCGGGTGGTGGATGCTTAGTGAGGCTAGGAAGCACGATCACAGGCCCGACTTTGAGGAACCGCAGGGTTGGCTTTTGCGCCGTTGGTTCGATTCATGCGTCCAAATATATTATTGCATTTCAATGCTTCTTGCGATATCATTACTAATGATGCAAAGGCTTTCAAGCTGATATTGTAGATCACAATCCAACTTTTACAGATAAACACACTCACGACCCTGCGTGAAGCATTCATTCAGTATGGAGCCTCTCTTGTGCAGCACGTCATTGTACTAAGGAAATGGGCTCGACTTTCGCGTAATTACTATAATTGATTTTCTGTGGAGTGCACTATACTGAAGACACAGCAGGACATGAACTCTAGGAGGAATTTCCCCTCTCCTGGAATTTTCAGATACCGAACAGCATTTCGAGACTACTTATGCGATGAGTGATTTCTGACATGGAGTGTAGGCCTATAGTTATTGTAATTCCCCAGGGAAGAACTCCCACCTGCCTTTGAAAACCGATGAAAACTTTTGTCATGCAAAGTCTACAATAGGCCGAAGCATAAATCCGGGAAAGTTAGCTTTTGCCAAAATGTACACGTTTGCAAACCCCCGTCAGCCCAGGGTTAAACCTGATCAGCCTACAGAGTTACTAAACCTTGTGGTTGGGCTTTCTTGGCTCGGGTTACCTAAAATTATTCTAAAACTTCATTCCGGGCTAGAGAGGAGAAACAATTCTCACCTGCGCCATCTTCGCCATTGTTTGGCAACAGTCGCAACTCGATCAGAGCTACAGCTTTACTGGGATTCACTCTACCAAAGTCTTCCTTTCCCAGAAGCAACTAATATAATTTAGAAGCACAATTGAAATCTGTGACATTTTGTGAAGGAAATTAATAAATGATGTAAGGGTAAAGCACCACCAACTTTGAACCCGTATATCTCTGCTCTTGCTGGAGATATTTTTCTTTCTAAATGTATACTTTACGCAGGTTAATATGTTCCTCTGCAGACTTGAAATTCGTTTGCTCTGCTGAACAAAAGAGTAAGAGCAATTAGAGAAGTTTGAAATTGTAAATGGACAGGAATGCCCGTGATGGAAGTCTATTGAAGAAAACTCTATTAAAGATTGTGGCAGCACCTAATGGAGACTGCATCTAGCACCTCAACCATTAAAAGTATTTTTGCTTTACTTTGCTCTTGCTCAGGGCCGGATTAAGAAGTTACGAGGCCCGGGGCAAGTGAATTCTTGGGGCTCCCCCCCCCCCCAGCTACTTTACGCAAATACAATACCTTTTTTTGAACTTAACGTTTTTAATTTCCTTTCGGGACCTCCCCCCCCAGCTACTTTACGCAAATACAATACCTTTTTTTGAACTTAACGTTTTTAATTTCCTTTCGGGGGCCCCCTGGAAGAGTGGGGCCCGGGGCAACTGCCCCCTTTGCCCCCCCCTTAATCCGGCCCTGCTCTTGCTGGATATGGTTTGGATTAGTTTGTTTATTTCCAATTGGTGGTTGGTGGGAAGAAAAGGCAAATACTTATTTTCAGTAGTCGCTCACGCCCTTACTTAGGCAGAAGGAAGATTAAAAGAAATTTCACAAGTCTGCTGAAGCATATCAACCTGTGCATAAGGTTCACAATGCTTCGTGAAAAAAATAGGTTGCTACATCCCGTTTATCTTGCATCTTGCTGGCACGATGTTTTCCCCTCCCCCAATATCCCCATTTGAACCTCTCGCCCTGTAACTTCACTTATAAAGTAGTTTTTGTTTTTATAACTCTGAAGTACCGGTAATAATTTGTGATCCCACATCCTCCAGTTATACCAAATGTCTCCAGAGATTCATTGTCAGCTTGGTTGTACCAGGGGATTGTCACATTGTGGATGCGCCAGGGTTCTTCCTCGTTCACTCAGGCGATGGTAGGTGCACCGTACTCGGCAGTCACCCTACCCAACCTTGGAAGCCCTCCTCTGGCGGGCCGCACGCGAAACTGCAGTCCAAACCCCACCCATGTCACACTTGGCGCCAGAGGCCCGCTACTTGGCGGACCACTCTATTCACAGGCCCACTCGATAATTTATTTGGGACAGCTAATGCCAACTTGGCTGCAAAATTATTTTTCAGCAAATTCCAGGTCATTCCAAATCATAAAAGTACGCTTCACCATCTCAAATATAAGTTTGGAAAATCATGGTAACTGAAATCTACCTAAATACTTCAACACAGCTAACTTTTTTTTTTATTTCTAGCTCCTCATAAAAGCTCTTCAAAAGTCTCCCAGAAACCCATTTTTGACTAAATGTCAAACCCTTTCATTAAATAAGATACTATCTGCATGAACATGGTTTCAATTCGAAATTTATCTATCCTGAAGAAATCAGATGATGTAATGCTTGTGTATAAGTGTACATGCACACTTTTGAATTTGAAACAATATTTCCAACGTTGGCATAATTATTAAGATCACAAAAAAATTCTGAATTAAATATGGAAGTAAAACTCAAGTTGGGGCAATTCCTAAATTGTGAGTCCAAAAAAAGTTGCCACTTTTAAGTATGTTGCACTGAACCTCCACATTAAATGTTTTCCAAAGTTTTGCATCAGAAAAATGTTGGGATCACAAACGAAAAAATTTACAATTTTTTAATTCAGCAAAAATGAATCATTTATCATATATGAAAAATGTTGCATATTTGCCTTTAAAAAAAAATTATTTATTTATTTATTTATGAATTAGGAAAATAAAACTTTACTCTGAATGTGAGAATTGAATCCAAATCTGATCAGCTCCGAGTCAAGGTTTCTAACCCTGAGTTTTACCCTTAAATGTTTTTCAAACAGCTTTGAATTGACATGAGGATTCAGATGCAACCAGTTCTAATATCAATAAGAAATTTTATTACTTCATTTAGATTCCTGCAAGTTGTTCCATTATTAAAGTCTGTAATTTAAATTGATTAATTTCTTTCTGAATATCATCAGAAAACCATATTTATCCACAACCAAACTCTGATCAGATGCTCCCATGGGCAACCTGTCTCACCCTCACCCTCACTCATCACCCTCAGAACTTTAATGAATTTCTTTGGAAAGTGGAAAATAAGTAATAGGTTGCCTTTCATACAATAACAAGTGGTCAAAAATGAAGTAAAAATAAAAACATGTGTGCATTAAACAACACAGCCTAAATACATATTCTTCAGGTGAACCATCCAGTCACTCCACAATGTCAGTGAAAGAAAGATACTGCAAGTTAATAGTGTCAAGTGTCAAGCTATTTTCACTTTTTATAAATACACTCAGAAGAATCAGGATACCATCCAATGACTTTGTACTTTACTTTTTTGACTATCCTCTTTAACTATGACATTAGTTTGGCTCCAGGCATTCTGATGCTAAGACAAAAAGCCTGCTGTTCATCAATGCGCAAAACCTCAAGGATGTTGGCTGATCATGGGCTATTCAGGAAAGTTCCCAGAGGAGTCACAGTAAAATTAATCTTCAGTGACATAAGTTGATTCACATCAATGACCTTTAAGCAAGGCTCTAAAGTCTCCCATTGTGAGATCTCTCCCCATACATTTCCAAGTGGAAAAATCATAAAACAACAACATTGGTTGGCTACATATTACATATATATTTATGTTTTTTTTTAAATATATAATATTATATATTATTAAAAACCATATAGCTACCTGTAATAAACATTAAAACATCAACATTCTCAGTACACAATGAACTCATCTCATGGGATTTTAACTGCTTCATGATTCAAACTAAAGGAATAGAATGTTCAGCATTCAGGCCTTTTTTGTTGGTAAACCCCACTTTTCAAAACCCAGATCTGATTCAGTTTTATTTTTTGCCCCCTGAGAATGTTCATATACTTATAATTCAGACGTCTCATATAAGCTTATGGATTGAACAAAGAAAAGTCAATATGAATTCTTGTAGTAGTTGGTAAAAAAAAATGGTGGCCACGCGATTTTAAAGCTTCACTCATCATCTGAAAGCCCGATTGAATGCAGCAAGCCACTTTACAACACCTGCGGGAGGATGAAAAAATATCCTTAATTAAACATGTGTGGACCGAAAATTTCGAGCGCTGAGCCTTGGCACGGGCGGGCCAGTCTTGTATCGAGGCGAAGACTGAGAAACAGTTTCAAGCCTTTCGAGTTCTTCCAGCAGCAGCTGAAAGTGATGGAGGGCATAAATGAAGGCTCAATCGAACATTTGTTTCAATAATAAAGGTTAGCCTGTTTTCACCTCTTTGATTTTAACCCGATTCTGACTTCGCAAGGCATTTTTCTTTCATTACAGGTCTTGAGAGTTAAGCAGACCTATTTCACGAAGTTTCAGCGACAGTGGCGTAGCGAGGCCAGCCGATCCAGCCCCCCCCCCCCATTGGTGAAACCCTGGCTACGCCACTGTTCAGCGCTCAAATTTTTAGATCCGCGCGTATTTAACTGAGTATAACTTTTGATTCCCTGCCGTTGTAAAACGGTTTAAAGCATTCGTTTGGGGTTGAACAGGGCTTTCAGAGGATGCCCAACACTTGAAAATAAATGTCATGGTTATTCATTGCTGTTAGAGTTCCTGCAAGATGGACAGTTATTTGATGCTGTTAAAGAGACTATGGCACGTCACTTTGAGGCACACCATTGCAACTGGTGAGATTGCTGGCTATGATATTGAATTTGTTGTTATATGTTAAGGTACTGTGACTGNGGGCTAGTAACTTCGCTCCGGGCGGGGGGGGCGGGCTGAAGCCCCGCAGCCCCCCCCCCTCGCTACGCCGCTGCTCATTAGCTGCCACAAATTTCTGGTTAATTTTTTTCTCCCACTCTGTATATCTGCACTTTCATGTACGACCATAAAAAAAAATACAAAACTAAAGTAAAAACATGAAAAGCCTCTTGACAGAACATGTTTTGGATGTCAGATGGAATGAAGTTATGTGCGACGCCCTGTGGAGTCGAAATCGATAACTCGATACGTAGCGTATACAAGGATCCTTATATACGCACGGCGGTTCTCCATCTGCAGCTATCAATAGAAATGTGATCAGCACATTTAATCATACTTCGACTACTAAATCGTGTCACGAGAAAAAAATCCGGGAAAGGCAGTGCTTCAGGTTAAAGCAAATTTATCCCAAGCGATGTCTGAAGCGGATGTGTTCTCAAATAAAAGTTGTAACGTTTCCGGGGCACTGATAAAAATAGGCTCCTAACAATTATCCGAATCATTTGTTTGCACTGTCTGTGGCTTCACTTTATTAAATGAACCTATCTTTTTTTTTTAATTTAAAGGTAGTGAAGGGCGGGCCCGTAGAGGGGGGGGGGGGGGGGGGGGCAAATTGCCCCCCCCCCCCCCCCCCAGGTTTCATAGGTTCAAGGGGTGCCTCACATGAGAGATTTGCCCCGGGCCCCATAATTCCTTTCGGCGGCCCTTGTGACTAGGACGCTATAACCTACAGGCGATGGAAGCATCCCATGGTAATATGGATCTGCCTATCCCATGCTTGCCTATGAAGTCCTCGGATGAACTGAATTAAGAGTCACTTCTTCACATTGGAGCAACTGGAACATCAGCTGAAGGCTATACGGTATCAGTCTAACCGAAGTTCTACTTTTGGGAAGAGAAATGATGCATATTCAGAGAGATACTGATTTACGACTTATCCCTCTATGTATAAAGAAGAAATTTTGTCTGTTCCTTCATACATTCGGACACCGCAGGAGCCAGTGCAACCAAACTTTGCATGACCTCCTCTTTCATGCAGGGGAAGGTCGAGGGCTATGTTTCTATCCAAAATTTTCACTCCCGGGGTACTGTAGTGTCTGGGATGGCATTGAGAGGATCGACTGACTCCTGGATTCGTTGGTGCAGTGGTAGCGCACCCGACCGGCGATCAGAAGGCCCGGGTTCGATTCCCGGCCATCCCCTGCTTTTTTTCGTCCTCCCATGCCATCCAACTCTCTCCTCCCGGCCACCTGCATCACAGTACCCCGGGGTCATCCCATCGCTGGATCACTACAGTAGGTAGTAAGTAATATTCTTTTGATCGAGTTTTCATAAAAAATACTGTATGTTTCAAAACGATAAAAACATCTTACGAAGAAGTTTTTTAACTCCAAAATAATTTAGATATTATTCAAAGCGTTCGAAAAAAAAGTTTAAAAAAAAAGGGGAAGAGGTCCGAGCGCAATTCAGACACCCAAGATCAGTAACTTATTGGAAACCATAAGGTTAACGTTCCCAATTTGTCATGCATGAAATATTGAATTTCCCTTGGCAACGCCGGGTACTTCAGCTAGTGGGCTATAAAGATAATTTTGAAGGCTTGAAAACATGGAATACCTGCCTTAGGAAGCAATACCCTGTCTAAAAAGACAAGAGTTAAAGCACACAGCAGGGGTCACTCAAATAACTATGGAAGTTAAGCTGCCCTTTATTGTATTCATAAATGAAGCTAGGGGATGATTAAAATTATTTATATAGCCCCAATTATGATGCAAACAAAACTGCCTGATTGAGTCTTGACCCCATCAGCCTACCCCTATATGGAACTCTCAAGTCCTTTCCTGCGGATGGGACAACAAAGGAAACACCCATCAGAAGGCAAGAACTTGTTGGCTATTTAAAAAAAAAAAAGTGAAACAAATCAGCAATGAAACAGTATGGGTACAATTATCACACAATAATTATTTCATGCATACAACTGGCAATTTCTCATCACATGACTTGGCTCAACCTTCGGGAGTATCACTCATAAAAACATGGAGACAGTGTTGAGACCACAAAACAGAGTTCATACATGCCATATCTGTACACTTAACATTATTATCACAAAGGATGATTTTTACAAGACCCATGGCAAGGCTATCACATGACTCCTCCAGATTGGACGACTTTTTTACTTCTCCAGAGAAGACAAAAAGAACAAGAAAGCAAGGAAACTAATAGCTCCTGATATGATTTCTCCCTTATCCATGAATGCCCAGAAAATTATTTGATTTCCTTTGTGATGAACAAACTTTTTTTTTCACTTCTCTCGTTAAGTTGACAATGTTTCCAGGCTTCACAATGAAGCAATTTATGCAAAAACTAATTGAGCAAGTTTGGCACAGAACAGAAATGGTTTGAACTCTTGAACATTCTGCTCAAGAGTGCATAAAAAAAATGTATTTGTACTCTGGGGTATTCTTTCAGGATTCATCAGTAATCTGATGGTGGAGGATCTATGAGGAGCTCTCCAATGCAAGATGAGATTTCCTGGTTCATCTGGTGGATAACATCCTCACAGGCAGCTTCAAATTGTCGTTCTACAGGGGTCAGAGCCTGCTCTTCCTCTTCCTCAAACTCTTCCTCTGTTGTTCCTTCATCTGCAAAAGAATAACATCCAAGGCAATAATAACCATGTAGAGCCCACATAATGAACTAAATGCGACTTCATTCATAAGAATAGTTCTGGAAGAAATACTGGTAAAGTAGCATGAGTGAATACTTCCTGGGGTCCTAATTTTTTATAAGCACATAAACCTCTACCAAGACCTTCATGATCATGTGAACATTACCATCAAGAAACTTTATGTTAACATCAGGACAGAACTTCTACTAAAAATGACAAAAGACAATAAATAGAACCTAATTTACTGATAAAAAAAATATTAAAAAAAACTGTTTGATACTACATGTCACAATTCATACCACAGTTCATTTCTTGAAGCAACGGAATCACACAATGAAAAGGCACGTCTCCCCCAACCTCTGGGAGAATGAAATCAGGCTCTTCCTCTGGTAGGCATTCCCTGAGAAGGAAGCATGCTCATTCAGTCACAGTACCTTAACATATAACAACAAATTCAATATCATAGCCAGCAATCTCACCAGTTGCAATGGTGTGCCTCAAAGTGACGTGCCATAGTCTCTTTAACAGCATCAAATAACTGTCCATCTTGCAGGAACTCTAACAGCAATGAATAAGCATGCCATTTACATAGATTCCAGGCAAAAACATGACAAATAATATATTTTTAATAATTTACTCAGGGAAATTACGAGAGGAAATGCAATAAGGGGGTGAGTTGAATTACATTTTGAGAATAATAGATTGTAACTCTCATATTACATGTTCAAGGTACATCCATGCTTCATCCTTACTGATTAACAGAAGAGTGTACATGTATTGCTGGACTCATCACTTTTTTTTCATTCCCATTGACTGCTTTTTTGGCTTCCAACATTTACTCACCTTCATGCCAGAATGAATCCACCTCATCACACAGCAAAGCAATGCAAAACTACAGTAAAATTTGAAAATTCCACCAGCAATATACAGGTGACTCTTGTTATATGCAGGGATTGCGTTCCTGAGAATCGCTGCATATGTTGAAAACGCATAAAACAGGAGGCTTATAACATGGCTTCCACAGTGCCTGTGGATAGGGATAGTGATAGTCTCCATGCACCGAAATGAAACTGTGGATATGCAAAAACGCAGATAATGAAAGCACATATAATGAGAGTCACCTGTATTCTATGACCCAATGTACTCCAAACCTTAAATTCTCTATTTTGTGTCAAAATAGTGTCAAAGGGCAGAACTAACTTTTTTGTTTTCCCAAATGAACAACAAAACTTTGAAAATCCTCCAAGCACAATATCTCCAAGTAGATACCTTTGAGTTCTTGAAGGAAAGAGGACATTGAAGAATGGAAACAGGCTCTAATGTCACTTTTGGTCCTCTTCAATTGCTCTTCCTCAGCTTCCAATTCTTTCACAACTATACAAGCCTGCAGATTAAAGAATGTATAACTACAATGTAGCTTATTTCACAAATATACAAGCTCATTGTTAACATATTATCAGTTTAGGAGAAAGAAAAAAGTACTTCATAGAGTAGCTCATCATCCTCGCCATCTTCTTCAGACCATCCAAAAAGGTTTCCAAGATTTTGAAGCTCTTCTTGATAGCTCTCCTCTTCCTGATCACTCTAGAATTTAGAAAAAGAATGTAATTAATCTTGAGTAAAGATTCCCTTGACAACTGTTTAAAAAATTTACTCAATACCTGTTCATCTACAGTTTCAGTTGGACAAGCATCAATTTCATAGAGATCATGGTGATCCTGGAAAGAGCCACTTGGCTTTTGCTTCTTTCCCTCCTCCATCTCAAAGTCAGAGGTGCAAACAATCTCCTCACGCACTATGGGACAGACCATGCTATTCTGAGCACAATCCAAAGTTGCTCCTTCCTTCAATATTTCTTCATCCTCCATGATGTTTACAACTGGATTGAAGTCTGATTCCTGTAGAAGATATGGACTGTAATCTTCACTACTTTCAGCATCAGCAATCACACAATGGTCATCATAGCCCAAGGCTCTGGCCATCACATCCTTTGCTTTATTCACTTTCATGTGCTTGTCTTTCAACATTCCATCAATAACTGCCTCAAGCTTCTCTTGAGCAATGGGTAACTGAGACTTGATGTATGGACCCACAAATGCTATTTTTGGGAGTTTCTTGGAGGAATAGATTCCAAAGGACTTGTCTGATCCATTCTTTAGCTTCATTTGTAAGACGGATCTTGAAGTTTGCGACCACCGTGCAAGTGTCTTGACTATGTCGACAGGGAACTTAATATCTCGTGCATCTACATGACTGTATACCTTCACCTGAGGATCAGTTAGAGACCAGACACACCAAGCATTACGGGGAAGGGTTTCTGCAGATGATTCACTTCCACGGCTGACACACCCATACACCTTCACAGCTCCATTCCCAGTCAAGGTGCCAGAGACTAAACGAAATGCTTTAGCTATTTGCCCAGTGCCACTGCAAAGCTTTGTCAAAGGTACACCTACCTGCCCATTTGTTGTTCCTACATGTGATGACTTTCGCCTCACAACTGATGCATGTAAAGGCCCCCAAGCATCCTTCCTCTGCATTGCCGAACTCTTATTTCGTATGGATTGCAAGAGGAATGATCTGGGCACAGTAGGCTGCCCATTCTTGTGAAGAGTCCGCAGAATGACAGAACACCCATCTGCCATGCTGGAATCTTTCCAATAGGGCAGGATGGGTTCAGGCACCCCAATACTCAATGGAGCCAGAGGTCTATCATGCAGATGCATTATCAACTTGCTGCTCTTCTCTCGACTTCTAAGGAAGGGAAACTCCAGATATCTGTGACACATCAAATATTTGAAGTTCTTCATTTCCAGAACTTTCACAACTGGTGATGGATTCTTCAAGTATCTGAGAGTTGCAGAAACGTTTTTAGCCAATGGAGGGGTAGGTAGTTTGTCCTGAATTTGAGAGTCAATTTCAGTTCTGTTAACCAAAGATCCACTGAGATCAGCAGAATAGTCACACTCAGGACTTTCATCAGGATTCATGTCTACCTGGACAAGATCTGTTGGATCAAACCCATCATCATCATCATCATCGAGTCTGATTACTTTTTCTTGGAGGTATGTTGACCTCTGCTCTTCATGGCAGGTTCTTGATCCACGTTTTTTCTGCTGTTTAGTCAAGGAATCTAATGATGGTGTATTAATAGTTGGATTGGTTGGCAAAGTAATAGCAAGAGCTGCAACACACTGCACTGCCATATCAATAGGGATGATATGGGACTTCTTCACAAGCTCTGCAGGATGTTTCTTGGAAATTCTATATGTCCAGAGCCCCAAACTCATTGCTAATGAAGGAGTTAATATGTCAAGCTCCTCCATCTCTTTCAGGGTAAAAGAATGCTTGCAGAGAGGCTGAGATGGAGTTGGTTTCTGAGATGACGAAGTGTCTGACATACATGTCTCTGCTTTTACAGGGGTATAAGCACACTTCAAGTCTGAATCAATTACACTGCCTGCATTTTCCTTCCTCTTTAAAATCACATGCTGTGTAGCATCACCTTCTAAAGAAAGTGCTGTTTCATCTTCAAGATCCCCACTGATATCCTGCAACTTGAAAGTAAAGGTTCGCTGACGTCCAGATCGTCTCAAACGCTCTTCCTTGGTCAGAGAAGTGTTGACAGCATTCAGGCATGAAACAGTCTCAAGTTTTGGCAACATTTCCATCCTGATCTTCCTTGGACGTCCTCTCTTCCGTTTTTCAAATACTGGTTCTGCAGAAGATGTGAGACTTCTATCTGAAGCAGAGAGACCAGAGGGTGTAGAAAAACTCTGGCACAAGCTTCGAGAGGCCTTTAATGTTCCCCGGGGTCTCCCTCTGGGTCTCTTTAACTTCACATTCTTGAAAGGAATCTTCTCAACACTTGATGAAAAATAACTAGAAAGACTACTTGATGAGGTACTCAGTTGTTTTTTCATCACTGGTTCCATTATTTCCTTCTTGCAGGGTGTCTTCATCCGACAGAAGTCAGCCTCTAACTGACAATACTTCATCATGTCACATTCAGATTTGAAGAGCACAAAATCCATTTCTTCCACAACTTCAACTTCAGCATTCACTTGTGAAGCTAAAAGCACCTTCTCATTATAGTCCAGCTCAGTGGCACCTGAAGAACTCTGCTGCTTAGATGATTCAATGCCATTGGACAGAAAGTTGTGCATCGCATCTTCCACGTTGGGATCATCATATGATGAAAGAGGAGGAGGGAGTAGCACATTTGGGGATATCACATAGCAAGCATCTCCCTCTAATCCAATTGAATCACTCTGCACTTTCTCATTTGTGGAAACCAGTCCTGAGGATGCTACATCCAACAGAGGAGTTATTGAAGCCAACTGTTTCTCAGGCAAAGAGGCATCAGGATATGGTAACTCAATATCCTCATAGGTATCCAGCTTCCTCTGTTTCCCTGGTGAACCACATCTATCTTCATATGAAGCTAAGGGCTCTGAATGAGGACGAAGTTTCTGCACCTTTAATCTGGATGGCAGTATCCTTTTCAGTTGATGCTGACTTCTTGGCTTCTTCCGACCTGCAATACCTGGTTGCAGAGCAGAACGAATGCAGGAAAATGGAATTCCATGAATGGGCACAAAATCTCCACTGATGAATCGGGAGGGCATTTGGCGTTTTCTAGTGCCCAAGCCACTGACACTTGTGTCATCCTTAGGGAGGTTACCTATACCTTCAGTCAAAGGTATTTTTGTATTCATAGGCTGTAAGTCACCTTGTTCTGGACACCTCGAAGGGATATCCTTACCCTCAACCTGAGGTACAAGAAGTGGAGGGCTCAAAGGAGCATTCTCATCCTGTGTTGGTATCTCTGACTCTGACTTGTAGCATGGCAGCAATGGAGGCACTTCTGACCTGGCTGGCATGCTTTCTTCATTCAATTCACTCCTGAAAAAGATTAAAAACCTCAGTTGCTGCCTTTTAAACAATATCAAAATTTTTCTGAAAATTTTCAGCAAAATTTTTTAAAAAGGAATAAAAGTATTCCAACAGGAATGTACATAGTTGCATGCAGCTAGAAAAATTTGCTGTGTAACATCTATTGAAAGACTTTTTTGAAGTTAATGTCAAAAGGGATGAAAATTTAAAATGCTATCGTAGGGAAACTGAATGTTTCTGTGAAAGAGAATACACTCAGATACTTGTCTGTCTCTGTGTCTCCAATTCTCTGGTGAAATGAAACATTTTCTTTTTCTTAAGAGCAGTAAATTCTGATTGTCACTGTGAGGTAACTTTTTCCCTCTTGAATCAAACTTCATGGTTATTAGTATTAAATTATTTAATCTTAACTCAACAAAGGCAGCCAGGGATATATATATCTTCAGCAGATTTGATTTTGGGTTATTTTTCAGTCAAATGGCTGAAAATTGGCAACTTATTACTTTTACAATGGATATCAACATTTTATCACTATACCATATAGGTACTGATACTGGTATACTCTAAACATCCAAGATTATGTATTTCATACCAGTATTGAATCCTAATCACTGTAAGTTGTTTTCAAATGATTTGCAAAGAGTGGGGGTATGGGTGTCTGGTTGAGTCATAAGATATAGTGACTATGATTCAGGAGAGGTTTGACAAGAACTAGAAAATATTAAAAACTGGTAGGAAAATTATAATGGGCTACAAGTTTGAGGCAACTTTTTTCCAAGTGCATTTTTTGCATGGAGCAGAATAACTTAGCATAACTTTCTAATTACATTTGGTATTTTAACATATCAAAAGAGAGCTCAAATTCTGCTCTGCATAAGTGTGTTTCTCTTGTGCAATAATAGCCCTTCTGAGAAAATAATTTTGCCTTTATTTTCAAAACAATGGTTCCAAAGTTCAGCATTCCCAATTTTCGTTTGCATTATTAAAATATATTCCTTTCAATAAGTTTCACATTTAATTCTTTACTTGAAATTCAACTGGCTCTAAAACGTAACTTGTATCAAAAGAGTATCACATCTCAAGGTCCCATACTAAAATCCTGAATAAGCTACAATGCAGAGACCTTCCATGCGAAGTAGACTTCCGATTTAAAAATTATATTACTACCATTTAACTTCGCACAATTTTTTTTTTCAAGTGGGCAAGAACGTCTCAGAGGTAATATTAAAGTATTCTTTCAGTAGTAGGTAAAAAAAAAAAAATTCTCTCGCGGAACCGATGGTCTTAGAAATACCGTGTGGCCTACCGGCAGCGGCGCAGTCAGAATTTTGCCTAAGGGGGCTATAGGGAACTGAGGGCGGACTAGAATTTCCATAACTTCTCTTCAAGGGGGGGAGTGGGGAGGTAAACGGAGAATTGGCAGATGCATTTCGACCAGAGTTAAGGGCTTCAGCTCCCTTGAACACCCTACGCCACTGTCTACCGGAAATTCCATGAACATTTTAATCGCGTAATGAAAAATATTCTGGAAGCATGAATTCGATTGGAAAAGCACTCAAAAGTTCCATAAGTTACTTACATTCGCTTGGGTGAGAACCGGAATGAAAAAGTGAAGAAGAGAGAACCGGTTTCTGCGCGCCGGGCCCCAGTAGGCCGCAAGCTCCACTGTTTAATATTGTCAATGTAATGAAAACATGTAATGTGCATACATTTAAGCAATAATTATATTGGAAGGAGCACCATGAGTCTTTAATTTACTCCTGCTTCAAAGAGCGCAAGTTGCACAAAGGACTCGCGGGAATATTAGTTTATCGGACGCATGAGGCACGATATGAATACAAATATTATTTCTGGAACTTGACCGCGGGAAGCCACTCTGCCTGTTAACAAACAAGACATATAAATCATAACTATCTTGTCAAAAACATTCTTGACAAGGAATTACACCAAGTCACAAAGTTCACCATGCGAACACGAAGTCCATGTGCTCGATATGAACTCTCGCAAAAAATTGGTGTTTATCTGGGTTAAGTACAGTTCCAAACAAAGGCAGACTCGAAAGACTCACTGCATCAATGTACTGCATAGTGAAGGGAGGAGGATCGGCTGGCAGGCCATTAATTTGGGCTCGCAAGGCGGGTTTTTATTACATGGGACCTATGCCCGCAACCAGGCCCACACTGGCAATATGGCGACACGCAAACGGAGCGCCATCAACAATTCACAAGAGGGGCTGTACGCTTCCCGATTCATTCACTAGGTGTCAGGTAAGTCAGTGGACCAAGACTGCTGACTCGAGCAATTCGCAGAGCAAGAATCGTATTATTCGTATTTCGATTAAGTACAGTGGCACAGCGAGGGGGAGGGTCTGAGGCCCAGGGTTTAGGTATGTGCCACATGTGCCCCGCACAAGTCACAAATTCACAGGGAGATGCCACCTTCAGTTTTACTGCAGAAAGTGGAAATGCCTTCTGCTTCGGCGTCTTTTTGGACACTAAGGGTTGACCCTTTCGTAGGGTGGGGTGGGAGGGGGGGATGCGTTGGTAGTCTCTTTACACAGGGAGCCGAAATAGTTAGGGCCGGTCCTGGGGCCCTCCCACGTTTAGTTCAAACACTCCCAACTCTGGTCTAATGCATCCGCAACCTTTCCCCTCCCGTCGAGGTGAAGTTAGAGAAAATCTAGCCCTACCCCCCTTTCTGCGAAATCCTGACTACGCCACTATTTGGATTAGGTACTTGTCCACTAGACTCAGTTACGTCTGAAAGGCAGGCTGAGCTTTCTCCCAATAGTTATCATCGCGCAAAAATTTCATGGCTGAATGAAAGCCTGTCGGATTCAATATTGTCGACCTTACCTGAAAAACAGTACAACGATATATTTCCACACTATATTTTCTCTCGGCTCCTTGAATCCCCTCAAGCGCGACAAACCAATATCTTTCCAATCTCTTTCCAGAAGGAAGTGAGAGGTTGGCAACGCAGGCCAAGGGGTTGGCCCGAAAATTGTTATGGATGTCTCTTTTCCATCGCGGTGTTGAGAGAAAAACGGGCTCGCCTCCAAATGGATTCACTTCATGGAACTAACCTTACTATGTGAGCCTATACGAATTGCGGACCTCCCTGCCCTCAATGCGTATAGGCATGACGTTATAATATGAAGTCAAAGAGCGATCCCAATTAAAGTTGTGCAGCTCAAAACTTCAATAGCATTCCATGGAAAATACATCGAGTCATCAAAATCACACCTATACAGGGCCGGATTAAGGGGGGTGGGGGCAGTTGCCCCGGGCCCCACTCTTCCAGGGGGCCCCGAAGAAAATTTAAAACGTTAAGTTAAAGAAAAAAGTATTGTATTTGCGTAAAGTAGCGGGAGGGTGGGGGAGCCCCAGGAATTCACTTGCCCTGGGCCTACACTGTTTTCGGATTGAATTGGTACCTACTGTGGAGAACGGAGAAAACACACGCTTTCCAGACGATCCTCAAGATGTCAAGCCTGATGCTCCACATGGTTTTTGGATGGTTCTATTAATACTTCACCTTCCTCCCAAAGGTGTCCTGCCTGTACTTGATGGAAGCGCTCCTAGGGGGGGGGTACCAATTCAATCCGAAAACAGTGTAGTAACTTCTTAATCCGACCCTGCACCTATATCACTCTCCCTCCCCTTCGCCACTCATTTCCAGATGTGATCCATATATCCCAATAATCTCAGTTACTGAACCACGTTTGAGTTTCATTAAAAACAAGAAATTAATATTACATATTAATATAAGTTATTAAATATGGAAATAAATTTAATTCAAGCCCACACATCATAATGGAAAATTCTAAGACACTCTGCTAATGCTACATAACAAATTGAACAACAGCATGTCTAGAAAATGAATTAATATATCTATTAATATGTGCCAAGAATCATATCATCAACAAAGAATAAATACCAGAAATTGACATCCATTTACCAAGTCACAAAAGGTGAATTCTCAGCTTAGATCATAATGAAATGGATTTCACTCCATGCTGGCAGTGAAAATCTGGTAACTTCTCATGTTTACCAAATACTCAGTTTTTCAACATTTCTTCATTTGCAAACTGTGATACCAATATTGGCATCATTCTGAATAGAACAGGTATATCCTTAACAAAGCTACAAAAAAAAGAAGCTTGGGCAGTTTAGCACTTCTATGAGAAAAATGAGTTTATAAGAAACTCCAATATAGGAACCTACAGTAAATGAAACCCACCTCATTTCTCTAGGCCTACATCATAAATACATTTTATAAAACAAATTAATAAGGCCAATCCATAAACCAATGGAAGGTAGGGATTAGTTTTAATAATTTCCCAGCACTTCATGCAAACCTCCCTGAAAAGTTCAAATGATTGGTGCATGAAATCTGGCAAGGCTCATGGCTAGAATTACAGCTTTATATGGAGTGTCTTTTAGACAATCAATAATTTTTATTTTGCTGGCATTTTCTAAAAAACAGCAAGTGCCTCACTAGGATTTTGAAATTTCTATGCAAAAAATTAAAAAAACGCATATAGCATGAAAAATTATAATTACATCTGTGCTGTAGCCATTCATAACATCAAAGCCATACCAAAGGCATTGCCCGACATTACTAAAAAACAAAAAAAAGCAATGCATCAGGATGCTTACATATACAAAGTAGTCATGAAGCCTAATATTGTCATATTCCCAAGGCATTCTAGCTCCAAGATCATGAGAGATGACATTGAAAAATGACAGTGGATACAAAATTGAAAAAATGGGTACAAATGAAATGCAGATATTCCCAGAGGTTTCCATTAAAAAAATTAAGGGTCCCATTTGAGACCCCTTTCCCCATCTTTTCTGTCCCTTCCAAACAACTGACATCCCTTGTGGCACAATCACACTTCTCATTAGTATCCTGAATGTTCAAATTAACTGAGGTTTAAAGAATACCAGCAAAACCATACAGGAAAATAGATAATTTTCGAATACAGGGGTACAGATTTTTATTTAATAGATACAGCATTGCAATGCCTCCAAGGACATAGGTTGTCAAAATGTTTGTAGCTTCTGCATTGCATATGGATGAAATGTGACCTGGTCTCCATCTTAGAGGAAGATGGGATGGAAAAACCAACAACTTCAAGTCCTCAAGATGAGTGTATAGTTATAAGACCAGTGGAGGGGTGGTAGGGAATCACAACAATAAAAACAACAGAAGCACATTCCTGGATAAAATCATTCAAGAAGAGTCCACATTTTTGATTGGCATCCATCAATGAAGAGTATCACCCCTTCTATGGAGTGAGATTTTTCTTTTCCTCTTGAGAAAGGGATTAGAACTACACCATCATGATGGATTTATCTTACTATCCACTTGAGTGATATGCAAAATATCACATCCACTCAATCACCATTGTTTCACCCTCAAAATGACAATACACACAAGTGAATCGGCCAGTTTAGGAAATACTACATTTCTCAAATAATAGCCATATTGTGGGAATATGAAAGCTCATTAGTTAGGATTCCATGCCATAGTATTGCCATAACTACACTAGGAAATGCATAGAATAATTTTATATGAACATTCTCAAATCATTTTTATCAAACCCAAGTATTAATGCAAAGTGTCCCATTATGTGAAACCTCAAAGAATTGATTCCTGTGATTTATTGGGAGATAAATTTTTGATTGATTGCTTCAGACTGATACATCTCTATTTCAAGACAGGATGAAACTCACAAATGCAACATTTCCGATTTTTCCTCAGGCATTCTTCAAAAAAAAATTATTGTTCTCTAAAAGGAATTCTCCAGGATGCTCCACCTGCAACAAAAAATGTGTATTGGATAACGTCAGCACAATTTAAAAAAAAAACATATATATATATATATATGCGAGCGAAACACGTGCTACGAGAAATTAGCTACCATAAATTTGCAACTTGCACGGAAATTTTCAATAAGAAATAAAAAACAATCAAATAAAAAAAAAACTGATTATATGCACTGTCGCATCAATTTACTGTCCCGATTGTGTCGGCCGATACAAGAAAATGTGAAGCAGATCCATTATGATGAAAGATGCCACGTTCGCGGAAGACGCCTGAAGACAATACGCAAATAATTTAACGCACGGCGGCCCCTGCCAAACATACTATGACTTAAATATTTGTTTCAGTCTCGGAGAAACTCATTATCATTGAATTCAAATGCAAAAATTATATAGACATGAAAATGTTCCCTTTCATAGAATACAACGATCCCGAGGATGTGACGGAAATACAGCGCTGCAATCGCTGCGATTGTGAAATAAACCTGACTTTCCCCATCAGTACTCCCTAATTATGTGTTGGATGGCATCGCGCCCTTCTAATACGATAGTTCCAAACATTACACTGGAAACGGGAGAAAGATACAAACGCAGCAAGTATCATACAAATAGCTCCTATCACATAGTATGAAGAAAAAAAAAAAAGAGGGGGCCTGGGCGGGGCCAGCCCGTGGATCATAGGCTAACGCCGCACTGCAGCTGAATGGACTTCCATAATCCCGCAGATGTCCCTGCTCGAATTTTCAATATAATAAAATGAGTTCGTCTTTAATCTATCTACTTCGCTCACCGAGGTACATTGTGCAGTTCACCGCAGTGAAAGCAGGGGACGGGAAGATCTTCTTTAGACACGTGACGTCACTGACATGGTTGGCGGCAGCAATCGAAGATGCCCTCACTATACATGCTACGCGGGTCTCGGTCTCCCTGCGCTATCTGAATTCCATGGAAAGAATTCAGAGTAATTTTACCCTGCTATCTGGCAGTATTATTGTGCTGAACGTTCCTCATGTAGGTAATATTGCTATTTATTGAATAGTAGGTCTACTCGCTCAAGAATTCATTCAATGCGAGAATACAGAAATCGAAGTTGATTGGAACTGGATTGAGATCAGCAACCATGCGGGAAACAAATGTTGCTTATAATTGGTCTCAGCTCCTCAGCTGCATTCAAGTTGTTGAAACCGTCTCTCTGAGCAGATGAGTTTCTGCTTATCATTACTCTGCTGCACAAAGCAACATGGCCAGTGTTGTCAAAAGCAGGCTACTTTTGCAGATTCATGAATTCACCCTTCAAACTTTGATAGCACTCATTTATTGATTCATAAACTTGACATTCCCAAGCGTACTCTTCTCCAAG